AATAGAATGAGTCGCAGCTAGCAATGTTCCCTCTAATTTTTTGTAGTCTGTGTGCGCAAAAATTTTGGTGTGTGCGCACTTTTTTGGAAATGACTAATATTCGTGCAAAAACCAATAAAGAAATTTTGGCGTTTTAACCGGGTAATAAGTGGGCCAACAACAAACTTCCTCAACCTGCCAACGGAGCACATTGTTACATTACATCGAAAAAAGTCTGTGCGCAGTAAATCTATGCGTGTGCGCAGCCTCTGAAAGCTGTGTGCGCGCGCACACGCGCACACCTTAGAGGGAACACTGGCAGCTAGAGAACTTTTTCTCTGTAACTCTTCTGGGTTCGTAAATTGACGCGTATTTGACGGGGAAACATAGCAGAGACTACGCGGATCACTCATGCATGACTTAGTCACGTGACCGGGAGTGCTACATCAAAAGGCTAACATAAGTTGTGGTGGATCAACCGACCTCAAATACCAAGTTTAAGTTCTTAATATTCAATAGTAATTGAGAAATGCGAAAAAAACTGAAAATTATGCTATGTGCACTGGAGCGTGAAGCCGTGATCAGTCATGCATTAAGTCTGCAATTTATGATGGGGAATTTATTATCTGCATGTGATGTAAATTTCAAGTCTCTAAGTAGTGTCGTTTTCGAGAAGAAGATGAAAATGTAAAATCCTATATTGCTCACTGGAGCGTATCGCCGAGGTCAGTCATGCGTATCCTTGACATATTGTATCCGGAATATGTCCATTAATCATTGTTATGAACTTCAACCCAATACCATGTATCAATTTTGAGAAATCGCAAAAAAACTGAAGACGCGTTTTGCTCACTGGAGGGTGAAAGCGTGGTCAGTCATGCATAAAATTTGCATTTTATTGCTAGCTGAGAACTTCTGCACATTTGAGGTGAATTTCAAGTTTGTAGGACCAATTTGAAAAAAAAATAATAATAAATAAATAATAATAATAAAACACAGGAATACAATAGGTTCCCTGCTGACAAGCAGCGGGAAGCCTAATTAGAGAGGTATTAATTAATTAGTGATGGGACACAATGTGTCACTATGGAGTAAGAGCGCTGTTTTGGGGATCCCCTGACTTTCGATCAATAAGTCTTCGGTCTCTGACCGATATTCTCGTTTTATTGTTTATTCTTCCTACTTTTTCCCCCCAACTGTTAGACTAATTCTCTCTACTCCAACCCTCCAACTTTCGTTGGAGCGGAATTATTTAATAATATTTCTTCCCAACTTGCTGACAACACACACCCGTCGTTGTCGGGGATATTATTTTCGCTAGCTGGCCTCGCTACTCTTTCTTCAGACTCAGCTCCACCGCCTGCCTGACTTTGTCGGCTCTTGGGCATACCCACCCTCTCCTCTCTACCGGCTCTTCTTTACTTGAATGCATGCGTCGACCTCCTCGGATATTCTTTTCGTTAGCTTCCGAACTAACCTGCACTCTTTCTCCCTCCTCGCTGGCTCTGGAGCCCCTTCCATTTTCTTTCGACCACCTACCCACCCCTCTTTCTCCGTCCTCGCTGGCTCTGGGGCCCCTTCTATTATTCCTTCAACCGCCTACCCACTCTCTCGTCCGACCCCCTTAGAGCAAATTTAATTCTTTCGGATCTCTTCGCTAGTTCGAAACATCATTCGGTACCATGTCTCAAAATTAGATTTCCTCTGCGGGAATCGAACCTCGTCCTGCGTATTACCGCGTGTCTATGCTTCGTTTGCGCCACCGTTACCTGTTTGGACGAGCGAAATTGAAATCTTACTTAAGTAACACATTTTTATCGACGTCACACTTTGCAATCCCTGGCATGGCTTCGAACAATATTACGCTAATATGCTGCGTTGGTTGGGAGCATATTCATCCAGGTGTGGGAATGTTGAAGGAACCCGTTTTCAATTTGACATATCATTCGCTTTAATCAACTACTGAATACGAGCTTGCCTGTAAAATCGTTGGATCTTTTGAAAATGAGGATTTCCCGTTTTCAATCGGGGATCAACCAAAGAATCGGAATTTTTAGTTCAAAAAAGCTAACAAAAATTCTGCTTCATTTTGAAGAAGACTTTTCTTGTGGTTGTTTGGTTGCTGGCTGTGGTTGTTGATCTGACAATAACACTGCATAACCCGGTTTTCGAATACATGTTTTCGATTTTCGTTTGTGTATGTATTTTCAAATACCCATGAACCAGGCTGACGATCATACAAAATCCAGGTAACACTGCACGTATGCCGAGTTGTAGCAATTCCTTCTATTAGTTCGTTCCCTTAATTTTTTTCAAGGGTTTGGTCAAATATTGTCTTCATACATTGGAGAAAAATTTTCCGATTTTATTACATAGGCCTACATTCCTACATTTAAAGCTGTCTCGGCTGTCTTTATTGACCATATTGTTATCGAAATTTCATGCGCATATTCTCTGTCCAAAAATCGGGTTCAGTTCGAAAAATAGGAATAAATAAAAAAAAAAAAAAATAGGAAGGAATTGACGTTAACGATACCGGTACAAATAATTCGAATTTAGACTAATTAGTATTGGTTTTACATGCGATACGTCTGCCCTCAATAGGAATTAGCGGGAAACGAACGCATTCACCTCCAGTAAGTAGGCTAGCGCTGCGCTACGCAGAAACAACAGTAACGAGAACATGTTTGTGTATTATGCTGGAAAAGCGGGACTTTTGGCTGACTTATCGGGACGGCGGGACAAAACGCTGGAAAGCGGGACTGTCCCGCTTAAAGCGGGACGTATGGTAAGCCTACCCTTACCGTTGGGCTTTAAATTTTATGGAATTGAGAATGAAGCAATTATAATGTTTAATTGAGGCGCGACAAATCGTTATAGCCGAATATTTATCCGACAAATCTAAATGTTTTATTTCCAATAATTTTTCAAAGCCCAAATATGTTATAATCAATTTTTTAAAGCGCTATTTCAACCCATTAAGGTAAGCCAACAAGACCATACCGCGACAATGCAATACTTTCACGAGCAATAAAGTAATTTAGTCCGATGAAGTATATTGATTTGAAAAATTCCTTTTAGCCGTCAAAAACAAATTCAACAATCATACGTCGATTTATTTCTAAAGTATACCTTCTAACTCTCACACTCTTCCTATTTCCTTTATTGGGCGCGAAGTGGGCCTATGGATGTTTTTATATAGTTCAAAAATGTATGCAGGCTCCATGGGATTCGTTTTCTGAATTAAAACTTTTGCACCTCGTAAAAAGAAATACTTACAACAAGATGATCAACATAATTACAAAAGAATCCCTATGTACACTGTTTCTGTCGAAAAACTGTGAAGAGTTAACGATCCGGTAAATACCGAGAAGATTATCTCACCACGGCAAAAAGAATAATTTTAGTTATCATCCATATATTAAATTATCTTTTGAAACATTCTAGATCAGATCAAAGAGCGAAATATCGGTATATTATAACCAATTCGTATATCACAGAATTGGCCCATACCGATTAATTGATACATCTCTAATATACACATATATATATAGATTACCACTAACAGTGCATTACAAACGAGAGCACAAATTACTTCTTTGATATTTGAACAATTAGGGATGAAAAATAAATGTAGCAAAAAGATAAATAACATGGGTCGTACACAATAAAATAAATAGTGAACATGTTTTTTCATATGCATTCCAAGTATATATTTCAAAGTAGCTGATTTTCTAACTTCTACTCTATTTTTTCGCGGACTTATATACAGGGTGATCAGACCAAGTGTATACAAATGTTAATTAAGATATCTACAATATAAATGTAAGAGAGAAAGAAATTATTTTGCAAAAATAGCATTATAAAGATGAAAAGTAGAATTCATTGTTATTTTGCGATATATTCTCTCCTTTCCTTCACTATTTGATTGGAACTTGACTGCACGAGGCACGTATGGTTTCTTCTGAAATTTTATCCCAACAAGCCATCAATCTATGCCTCAGAGCAGTTGTTCCCAACCTGAGGTGCGCGCACCACTAGTGGTACGCAAGCAGCTTTGAATTATAGCAACAATTAACTTTTGTATTTGCTGAACAGCGTATACAGCGCTACAAATCCTTGTTTTTATAGGTCGGCTTCTTCGTTACTGTCCACCAAAAACGGAAGGGACATGTTCTCGGCCATGTTTTGCGTGTACGCCATAATGTGTCTGCATTAATAAATCGGCAAATGAGGGAGCGTTCGTGATAGCCGCTCGCACTGATCAAAGTGTTTTCGTCCGAGGTTTTGGACAATTTAGTGGTAATGATAAGATGTATTGTTACGTAACGTGCAAATTGGCAAAAACATGTCCACTTCGTTTTAGGTGGACAGTAACGGGCGAGAGTGATGTCTAAAAGACACGAACTGGTAGCGCTATAAACGCCGTAGCGAATACGAAAGTTAATTGTTGCAATAATTAAAAGCTGCTTTCGTACCACTTGAAAAGCTCCCGCGTATCACTAGTGGTGCGGGTAACTCGGATTGAGAATAACTGCTATAAGCAATGTTCCCTCTAATTTTTTGTAGTATGTGTGCGCAGAATCTTTGGTGTGTGCGCACTTTTTTGAAAATGACTAATATTTGTGCAAAAACCAATGAAGAAATTTTGGCGTTCTAACCGGGTAATGGGTGGGCCAACAACAAACTTTCTCAACCTGCCGACCGAGCACATTGTTACATTACATCGAAATACGTCTGTGCGCAGTAAATCTATGCGTGTGCGCAGCCTCTGAAAGCTGTGTGCACGCGCACACCTTAGAGGGAACACTGGCTATAAGGCATAGATTGATGACTTGTTGGATCAAAATTTCAGAAGAAACCATACACGTGCCTCGTGCAGTCAAGTTCCAATCAGACCAAGGCGTGTAGTGAAGTCAAAGGGGGGATATATCGAAAAATAACAATGAATTCTGTTATTTATCTTTATAATGCTATTTTCCGCGAAATATTTTTTTTTTCTCTTCTACATTTATACTGTAAATATTTCAATAAACATTTCCACACTTGGTCTGATCTCCCTGTATAAGCGATGGAAATTTTAGATCATGCTGTATATACATCATGCTGAATTTGTATTACAACAACTTTGGGTCTCGATTAGTCCGAACGTATATATACTGCCATTGGGTAACGCACAATAGTTTATTAGCATTTAGCTCATTTGTATCATATAATTAAAATGATAAAGATTATGTGCTTATCGGAACCTTTATCTTATCTTTATTTAATAAATATGGATTTATATCCAATATTTTCTTTTCTTGAATGCAGTGATATATGTAATCCTCTCGAACAATTGGAATCTAGAAAACATGTGAATGTAACGTGAGAATCGGGCACAGCACTGGTTGACAGCTCTGACAAGTACAATACGGTTATGCTTGAAAAAACTGACTATTTTAAGGGAAACTTGGCACAAGTCTATTATTCACAATGGGAATGTTTTTCCAGACTTGCCAATATTGAATAAAAGGATAGATTATGGCGGTGTATAGTATACTCAAAAATACAAACTTGAGCTCTTTTAGAATCCCGCACCAATACTGTATTTTTCTTGAAGTCTTTGTCTGAACACACTAAAAATGTATTGTTGAATACCGTGTTGACGTTGGGCACTGAAAATAAAACTTTGTTGTGATGATGCAGACATAAATAATGATTCGTACACAAAAACATGCAGTTATACACACGGAAATTATCGTTGAGTGCCACTGATAAAAGTTAAACCATGCAAAGTTTTCCTGCGGCGTGTCATGAAGTATAGCATGTTGTAATTCAATTCGATACTAGTTTTTCTTAATCAAATTTTTAAAACGAAGTTTACATGGGACATCCTGGAAATCAAAATAATTTAAGCTAAACTAGTTATTTCGTTATACAAAATTTAAACGTTACCTGGTCTTCCCCCACATCTGATGATCAAATCAGACATCGTTTCTTGTTTTGCGCCAACTTTCTTATCACGTAACGCTTCAGACACAAGAATGTTTTGAGCTTTGAAAACACTACAATAAAACAGTCTTACTTTATTCGCTGATTACGTCTAGTTCATTTAATGGGTGCGTAATGCAAAATTTAAATATATAACTCATTTTTTGTATTATTGCATATAAACTTTGTGTGATACCCATGTATCAAATCACAACTCTGTTTAGCTGTTTGCTAAGACTCTTGCATCACTCTCTTGGAACTTTACAGTCAACTATCATTACGCAATTTACAAGTGAACCATTTCACATTACATATATATTCATATGGGCCCCTACAATGAAATGAACAACAACCTTGGAGGAAACCAATTAGAGATTGTTTTTAATATAATTGAGTTGAAGCGTTAATTAATAGAGGTGAATGCATAACTGACAAATTAGTTTCAACACGATATGCCAACCTATTTACCTCGTAGTTTGAAACGTTTTCTTCTCCTTCTTGGTGCGTTTCACGATCTGAAGGTGAAGAAATTTACTCCGTTTATTTAGGTATTAAATTCACTAGATGTTTACCAAACAAATTTAGGAGATTACTCACAAAAAAAACGAGACTAACATGTTGTGGAATAGTAATTCTAAAATTTTCTAACATATAGCATTCAATAATCAACCCACCTTTTCATATTGTCTAAGCTTCTTTTCAATTCCAGGAGGCAAATATGGCTGTTTAATTCTTGGATCAAAAACCCCTTTGGCTGTTGGCATTTCTGTAGCTATGGAGGATTGCATTGCAAAAAGTCTACCAAGACTTTCTTCTCTGTAAGTAGAAATAAGCAAACTATTTTCCATTGAAAATTTTCTAATTTTTGCCGACTTGAAACTTGAATGTCAGAAACATCCAGTGAATAGAAATTGATCTTCAAGGAAAATATAGCCTAGTTTCGTATTGATACCTCGTTAATTCAAAAGATAGCAGTCGTTTGCGATTGAGTTTATAAAGTTATTCCAAATAGCAACTCAATGATTTGAGTGATGTTTAGTATCAGATATACAGCTCTAAATTAAAATCGGTCCACTCGACTCAAGTTAATCTGGTGAATAATTTGTATTGCTTACGCAAACATTTATCACTAAAACCCAAGATCTTACAATCTTTATAAACGTACGTTTTAATAGTTTTTCCAAAATTAAGTTTCTTTATCCAGCCATCAGCATCATCGTTGAGTTGTTTTGCATATTTACTGCGATCTCCTAGAATAATCGTATATTGTTTTTTAATTTCATTGATTTCTAAAATTGCATCTTGAATTGCCTTCCCATGTCCTTTCATATCTTCATTACTATATGAAAATAAAGTTGAATTTTTTGACGTACTGGTTAATTTCACTCTACATCAGTGCTCTTCAACAGGGGTTCCGCGGAACCCTAGGGTTGCTATGCAGTGGGGTTCCGTGAGTTTATAGGGTTCCTCAGGGGTTCCGCGTTTTTTTTTTTTTTCAGGGGAAATTATTTCTTGCTTCAGCATGTTGATCGTCATTATAAATATTCTTAGACCACCGTGTCTCATTCAAACTCCCAAGTAGGCCAATTCGTTAAACAGGAGGTTTAGTCACAGTGCAGTTAATGGACAAAACAGAAATATTTTCGGTTACGGACAGTGCAGTTAATAGACAAAACAGAAATATTTTCGGTTGTTGCGTCACTTTAGTCATTGTTATGCAACAAACAAGAACGATATTGTTGCCCATAGTTACATGATGTACAAAGTATGTAGATATTGATTGGGTTTCTACAAGACCAACTACTTTTTCCATTTTCTATGCTTTTGCGTCGGTGGATCCGTATGCATATAATGCAAAGATGCTGTAGCAAGAGTGGAGATAACTATCCTGAATAATTCGATAAATAGCCTTGCTGGTTGCTGCACACTACTAACCCAAATATATTTCTGTAACGTTTCGTCTGACCAAGGTCAAACTTCCTCAGACATGCTTATTTTAACTAAAGCAAGAATAGCAATTGTATAATTTACCATTCTTGCTTTAGAAATATGTATGTCTGAGGAAGTTTGACCTTTGCTCAGACTAAACGGAACCGGAATATATATGTGTTAGTGTGCAGCGAGACTCTTTATTGAATTACTCAGGATATGTAGATATTGCTCGAGACTAGAGAGAGTGTATACTACAAAATAGAGTTGTTGTTCAGCTTTTCGTGTTACGAGTATTTCGTGTTTTTTTTTAATTCTGTTAATTGGGGTTCCATAAAAAACGAAAAATTATATCAGGGGTTCCACAATAACAAAAAGGTTGAAGAGCACTGCTCTACATATAATCGGAATTGTAAACTTAACAGTTATATAAAAAAATCTCATATAGGATTTTTAACATAAGTACAAAATGCTGTATATATATACACACAGCATAACCAGTCGGCAGCCAATTGGATAGGCCGATTATGGAGCAAAATATTCAATATTTTAACGCAACATTCGTTATCTAAAATGATTTTAGGCGAACACAGAGATATAGCCTATAGTGCCCTAGTTGATTTAGACTAGAGTACACAAGTATTGCCAAATTGCTACAAGCCCAACTTACATAATATAATATTCAGCGTTATTTATTCCGATCATGCACATTTTTCTGTATTTTTCTTCAGCAATACAAACGAGAGAAGTCTGAGCTTCTATCCAATTGACGTTAACTGTTTTTTGAAAAATTGTGAACGACGATATTTCGTCCATGATACTTGCTTCGTGACCTGAAATTTAATACAATTTACAATATACAATACAATGTACAATATTATAATTTTACAATATTTCTTTCCGATGTCGGCAATACTAATATTTTTCATGTAGAATTATCGAAATTTGACTATATGGTTATATTTTGGCCCTCCCTTTTAAAAGCCTACTACTACAGCAAAACCATCGTAAAACTATAAATCGATATCAGATTTTAAAATTATATTGCTTATCGTTGGTTCAGACCAGATTAGTTTTTTTATTTCCAACAGACTGTTCGTTCAGTCTATTGTCTATTCAGTCTATGTTAAATCAGTAATATGTTTTTACCCTTTCTCTCTCCCGTTTTTTCGTTTTTGCATTCGCTCAAAGTTTTTGTGCATAGGATCACAAAATCATCTATATTCTGTTTATTCATCTTGTCGTCAAGATAACTGACTTTTATATCGACAATATGCTGCTCATCCAACTCCTGTGTAGAAAAACAGATAGATATTCATTCTAAAAAAGGATTACATTACCCCAAATTGTTTACTTTTCACGTTGCTTTATAACGTTGGAAACATTTAGTTTAGACCAAACAACATAGCCTACCTCCAATTCGTTCTGAGGCAACACGAGTGTAAATGGAATATGCTTCTTGGTATCTTCTGGCATTGCATGTATGAAGTACTTCAGCATCCTTCCAGAGGATTCCTGTAAATGTATATTATATATTCATAATATATTTGTTTTTATAATATATTGTATTCAATATGGCCAATCCGGTGTTCAAAACAAAAACCCAATGATGTTAATGGATCAATACTGTGTTTCAGATCTTACCACCTAATCAAATTAATACGATTCCACAAAAATTCCAAAATGTTAATCCAGTCACACACAAAAACATAATCGCTGGACAATGAATTAGCACATGTCAAACTGGAAACAAGAGTTTACTTGAATGAATAGTCTAATGATTTATTCGCTGATGACTACACAAATTTTCATATACATTTTCTAGTTTTCGCAAAATAATATTTATATATGCACTCATCATGTGGACATGCATTCATGATGCAGTAAAATGGCAAGGGAAAGAGCCAAATATTTGCCACAAAATGCAATTTTTTGAATTTGACAGAACATCTCATTGTGATTCGGTCATATGTGACTGATGTTGAATCGTTGGCGCAAAAACGTCAAAACCTTTGTAATTCAATAACACAAGGAAAATAATCCTATCACAATTACCAGTAAATGTTTTCCAGAAATGTGATTCTCATCGAAACTAACTCCTTTCAAGCAGTTCATGTCGATACTGACATCGGTAACTCGAGTTGTTTCCCTGGAAACATTGTACAAAGTTTGTGTTCTATTTTTCATTGTTATCGGTATTGAACAAGTACATTATACTCTTCCCAAAAACAAACAAAAGTCTACGCGTCTATGGTTACGAAGCGAGTTCGTAGATACCTGTTTATGCAAATCAGAAAAGATAGCAAATATTATTGACATGATTGTGTATAATTGCTTTTATATGTACCTAAGAAATACAGGTATTAGCATGTCAGCCTCAAATTCCTCTTCTTCGTTCAACCAATAAAACGCATCACTTCCGAGATGTCCTGCAATCTGAAATATAAAAAACAATTCCGTCGAAAACGAAAGGCTAGTATTTCAAAATCAAAGAGTTGATATTGTAAAAAAAAATCAACCCAGATTTTAAAATATCTCGTAATTTACTCGAAATTAGATCAATGTACACCTATATGCTAAGAAAAAAATGAACGTGTATGTTGCTATCTATTGCCAGTGGCGCATCTACGTAAAATGGCGCCCATGTCAGAGTTTGAAAATGCGCCCCATTGTTGTCGGATTGAGATATTTGTACGTTAAAATTTACGTAAAAATAGGAGTTTCAATTATTTCCATTCGGAAATTATTTTATTGAAATATTTCATTATTAATTTCATTTCGCCCTTTTTGCGTTTCAATCCAAACGGCTGCTATAACCTAGATAGAACACTGTCTATAATAGCCAAATCTGACGACTTGAAAGAAGATGAAAATCGAGTAGGGGGCTTTCGTTAAAAGTTTCATAGCTGGCTATTGATTTAAATAATTGATGTAGCTTCGGCCATATTCTGTCAATGAATGATTTATATTATATCAGTGGACCGTAGCAAATTGTTTTGGCTAATTGGACTATTATCAAAACCATTAACACTCCTAGTTCCTATTAAAATCTGGATAGAACTTTTGCAACGTATCAGTTTACCTCGTTCAGCAACACTGGTGCGTATTGACCGATTGTAAATGCGGAAATCGGTACACAGCTAGTTTTATTCATTGTCTTCTGATAATTTCTGTATTTGATGACAAGTTGCTCCGGATCTGTTTCACCCAAATTGGCCATTCCGTCCGTGAATACAATCATCAAATCTCGATCATGCTTTCCAGAATCCCTAGATAATAAGGTACGTTACAAAAACGTAAGAAAACGAAACTGTAAATTTGTTTTATGGAAGCTCACTGTTTAAGCACATGTAATCCTGTCATCAATCCAATTTCAAGATTAGTTTGACCTCTTGTATGAAGACTTCTAATAACATCTTTTGCTTTAGTCTGAAAATATATATATACAGATATACGTACAAACATAGATGGTATGGCCCAATATTATTTCATTGTGTTTACTGTTGAGTAATGGTCGTAACAAATTTGTTAAAAATACTATACGAAATCGACCAGAAACCCAGACAATACATTGTACCCAAGCCTAGATTTGGTTTAATGCCAATTTTATAAGAACACAATCTTTTCTGTAATCGCTTTTACACAAAGAAGAAGCTCACCCAGAAAGCAAAAGTTATTCATACTCAGATACGTACCCGGCCTGTACACAAGACCAGGTAAAGAAACTAAACTTTGTGTAAACATAATATCGCAATATATAAATTGTTTATATAGCGGACCGATTCAATTATTTTAAAATACTCTGAATAATAACCAACCTTAGCGGCATTGTTCATCACAGTCATCTTCATATCTGTATTGACATCATGAGAAAACGTAACTATGGCGAGTGAATCTTCATTAGCGATGTTTTGAACGACCAGTTCCGCGAATATCTAAAAATAAATCATAATAAAATATTAGATTTTCTTCATGCGTTTGGCTGTTATTCAAAACGTTGCCATTTTTTAGTAGTATAGTATGACCTTGACTCTGTCAAGTAAAGATTCCGATTGTGTGCCTACGAGACTGTCCATGCTGCCACTCACGTCAATTACAAGGACGTAACGTAAAGGTAGCCGGCGTTGAAGTTTTGTTTCAATAGCCGATAATTCCATCACGACTTCAACGATCTAAAATGTTTAAGTTCAAAAATTAATTACGTCTAACGTTATGTATCGTCAGCAACCAATGCACTATACTCCCAGTCTCAGGTACGAGGACAAGATACATTTTGCTTCAATGCTTACCTGCTTTTGAGTAACTTGACAAAAATATTTGGTTTGAAGTTGATCTTTGCTTTTGGTGGTCGAGACTGCCGTAGCATCAACTGCTTGTGTTTTCGACATTTTATTGTTAGCTTTTAATTTATCACACTCCAATAATTACGATCTACATTATGGAGAACAAAAAAAAAACAGCCTTTTATCGATTCAATCATCTTAAAGTAATAAAAATGCAATGTCGATTTAGCCATTAGTTAAGAGAAAAGCCATTTTCTCCAAAACAACAATAAAAACCTCAGCGATAACAATTTGGCAAAACTATCCATCGCCCATTTCGTGCCCAAAAATGCATCATCATTAATGTTAGACCTACATGGACGAAAGTACTGAAGGAAAACATTTTAACATGATGAGCAAAGCAATTTCGTTTTTGCCTTCTGAGGCCTTCTGCTTTTGCGTGGTCACTTTACAGTAATCACCAAATCTATACAACTCTTGCATAGGAAATGACCAAGTGCGCAATTTGATACTAGGAAAATCTACAATTGCTATTTCCTGAATCCCCAGTGTGAAACTATTGCTTTGCAAAACTTTAATCTGCAAATCAATTTCTTAATGTACAGTACAGCAATGGATTTTTTCATCCATTTTACCCACTTTGAGTCATATATGCAAAATAATCACTAAACTGCCCTTTACAGCTCTTTTGAGGAAGAAATTGTACGACTACTTAAAACATTGGATGTATTTCAATGGCTTCAGTATCATTCGACTAAGTAATTACCGATTATAGGCTTAAGTTACAAAGAAACGAAAGTGCTTGACAAAAGAACTAAGTATTTGTTTTCTTTGCCTGATTCGCAGACGCTGAGATATTTAGACAATAGAAAAGCTTTGTCGAGTAGGTACGACACAACAAATGCATCTGACATTTTACTGTACGCATTCTGTATCTAATTAAATTAATACCTGTAATTTAAATAAGTCAATAAGTGAATGCAGCTCTACTTCGCTTTTTATCGTTATCTATAAGTATCTGTCCTTTCCGCCTTTGCTCTTTCTTCGTCCTTACTGGCGCCGCCCCCCCTCATTTATTACCTTCACCGCCCGCCTGACTTCGTCAGCTCTTTGATCGACCCTTTCTTCTCTCGACCTGTTTTCCTTCACTCGAATGCATCCGTCGACCTCCTCCTATATTCTAATCGTTAGGTTCCGAACTAACCTGCACTCGCTGCTCTTTCTCCGTCCTCGCTGACTCATGGGGCCCTCTTCTAATATTCCTTCGACCGCCTACCCACCCTCTCCCTCCTCTCGACCCGCCTTTCTTGTCTTGAACGCTTTCCCATCGTCTGACACATTTGAAGCGAAATTACATCTTTTGGTCCTCCTGGCTAGCTTTCAGCATCCCTCTGTACCCGTCATTAAAATTTGGCCTTCCTTGCCGGATTCGAACCTCGTTATACGTGTTACGCATGTCTGTGCTTTCTTTGCGCCCCCGCTACCGGTTGGACGAGTGGAATCGAAATCTTACTTAAGCAACATATTTTATCGACGTCATACTTTGCAATCCCTACCATGGATCAAACAATATTGCACAGACATGCTGCGTTGGTTGGAAGCACATTCATCCATGAGTGGAACTGCTGAAGGGAAGCCGTTCTCACCTTGATCTACCATGCGCTTTGGCTTAACTACTGAATACGAGCTTGCATTCAAAACCGTTGGATCTTTTGCAAATGATAATTTCACGTTTTCATGCAAGGATCAATCAAAAGATCACAATTCTTGGTTTAACAGAACTAACCAAAATGCAGCTATATTTTGAAAAAGGCGTTGCTTTGTTCAGCCATGTGCTGCGGTTTTGAAATTGAGGTGTCACGATTGTGCAAGGTGATCCAAAACAAGTCGATTGATGAACGAGGTTGGGTAAAATTTACAATTATTGTTAACCTTACTATTTTACTATGTGCATTTTTATAGATTCATTGAGACTATGGAAATTTTAATGTTTAATTGAGACGCAACAAATTGCTATAGCGGAATAATTGTCCGACAAATGTAAATGATTAATTTTATTTAAATTTCACGGGGTTCATGATTATTGAAAAATCGAATTACTTAAACATTCCCTTTCGTTTGGATAGATTTTATAGACACTAATATACTTTTGAATTCTTATATTGCTTATTATAGTATCGTTAATTTCACGCGCGTTACATAAATAAACTTGTCAATATATTCGTTAAATACAAGTATAAATAAACAAAAATATTCAAATTAAAGAGCTATTTTTTTCAACGCCCAAAGATGGCATAATCAAGATATATTTACATGAAAAGCCAACAAGGCTATAAATCGCGACAATGCGATACCTTTACGAGAAATAAAGTAATTAGGTGCGATGTGCGATATTACCCTTTTTTGTATGTGATGACGTCATCAGATTTGAAAATATTGCATCTTGTGAAAAAATACTAAGATAACAATAACATAAGTACAAAAGAATTCATATGTACATTCGTGCTGTCCAAAAACCATGAAGAGTTAAGTAGCCAGTGAATGCCGCGAACTTGATCGCACAGCAACAAAAAAAAATTCTGTTATTATCATCTGTCTCATTGGGTTATCGGCAAGATACCTAGAGGCGTTGCTATGAACATACGAAGAAGACTTACGGAAACACAGTTTGTATTGGTAACTACACAGAATTAAATATAGAACATCATTTAGCAACATACAGCATCAACTTATAAACTCAAATGACTATAGCGCATGCTTTGCGCGCATTTTACAGTCCATTACTTATAACGTCATACGCGCAAAGCATTATTATGTGAGTGTTGGGACATTAAATCATTCTATGACATCAAGCCACATCATCCATATATTAACTTATCTCTTGAAACATTCTAGATCAGATCAAAGAGCGGAATACATCGCAAAAATACCGTTCTATTTGTAGTCGATGCCGATATCACAGAAATGGCCGATACCGACAAATCGGTACATTTCTAATATCGATTGCCGCTAACAGTGCATATTAAACGAGTGCACAAATTACTTCTTTGATATTTGAATCAATTGGGGATGAAAAATAAATGAAGCAAAAATATTAAAATAACATGAGTTGTACATGCACGAAAAAAAATAGTAAACATTTTTCTCATATGCATTCTAAGTATTTCTAGGTAGCTTCTTTTCTAACTTCTACTTCATTTTTTCGGGGACATATATATATACATGCGATGGAAATATTAGATCATGCTGTATATGCATTATGCTGAATGTATATTTCAGCAACTTCAGGTCTCGATAAAATCGAACATATATAAACTGTCTTCCGGTATAACGCACAGTAATTTATTATCATTTAGTTAGATCATCTGTTTTATCAAACTTAAAGTAGAGATTATGTACTCATCGGGACCTTTATCTTATCTTTATTTAATAAATATGGATCTAGATCTAATATTTTCTTGTCTTTAATGCATTGATATATGTAATCCTCTCGAACAATTGGAATCTGAAAAAATGTAAATATTACTTGAAGTTTGACAGCTAATTTTGTGTAACACAGACGCAATGCGGTTATACCTTGGCTATTTTCGTGAGAACTTTGGCACAAGTCTATTATTTGCAATGAGATTCATTTTTCAGAGGTGTCAATATGGATTAGGAATCGATTATGACGATGTATATATAGTACCCTCAAAAAATACAAACTTTAGCCCTTTTAGAATCCCGCACCAATACTGTATTTTTCTTGAAATCTTTGTCAGAACACACTAAAAATGTATTGTTGAATACCGTGTTGACGTTAGGTACTGCAAATAAAAAAAATGTTTCAATGATTCAGACACAAATGACGATTCACACACAACGGTTATACCGAAAAAATCGAAAGTACGTAAATTTACGTTCTGATTGCCACGGGTGGAAAGTTAATTTATGCAAATGTTTCCTACACCGGGTCATAAAGTAGCATGTTGAGAATTCAATTCGATGCTAGTTTTTCCTAAACATGTTTTTGAAACAACGCTCACATGGGACATTCTAGAAATCATAACATTCCAGCTAAAACAGGGGAATATTTCGGTATACAAAATTTAAACGCTACCTGGTCTTCCCCCGCATTTGATGATTAAATCAGACATCGTTTCTCGTTTTGCGCCAACTTTCTTATCACGTAAAGCTTCAGACACAAGAATGTTTTGAGCTTTGAAAACACTACAATAAAGCAATCTTACTTTATTTGATGATTACGTTGCTTAGTTCGTTTAATGGGTGAATAATGTAAATATGCGAATCGCATTTTGTTTATTATTGTATACAAAATCCGTATGATACCCATGCATCAAATCAAAATTCTTTTGAGCCGTTTGCTGAGACTTTTTCATCTTTCTTAACAAGGTTACAACCAACTATCAATACGCGATTTACAAGTGAACCATTTCACATTAAATGTTATTTTATATAGGCCCCTACACTGGAATGAAAAACAACTTTGGAATAGGCTAACAAAAAATCGTTCCTTATTTAATTGAGTTAATAATGCCTTAATGAATGAAGGCCAATGACTAACTGACAAATTAGTTTCATTGCGGTATGCTGCTAGCCAACTTATTTACCTTGTAGTTTGGAACGTTTTCATCTTGGTACGTTTCACGATCTGCATGTATGTAACAAGTGTTAATTTGTTTATTTATTCAAATACTGAATTCATTGAATGTTTCTCAAAATAATTTATATGGAATAACTCTGAAAAATAAAACGGATCATGTCGTGAAATAGTTATCTTGAAATGTTTCAACATATAGCGTTCAATTACCGACCTACCTTTTCATATTGTCTGAGCTTCTTTTCAATTTCAGGATGCAAATATGGCTGTTTCATTTTCGGATCGAAAACTCCTTTGGCTGTTGGCATTTCTGTAGCTATGGAGGATTGCATTGCAAAAAGTCTACCAAGACCATTTTCTCTATAAGCAGAATTAACAAACTATTTTGTGTTGGAAATTTTTTAATTTTCTCGATGTCCAAGATATCCAATGTATAGAAATCGATATAGAGATATTTAGCCAAGTTTTGTATTGATACCTCGTTACTTCAAAAGATAGCACTCGTTTACGATTGAGTTTAAAAAGTGATTTCAAATAACGACTCAGTGACTTGAGTAATGATGCTGTTTGATATCAGATATACAGCTATCTGTTTTAAATCAAAATTGATCCACTCGACTCAAATAATTCTGGTGAACCATTTATATTGCTTTTTCAGACATTTACTACTAAAACCTAAGATCTTACAATTCTTATGAACGTACGTTTTAATAGTTTTTCCAAAATTAAGTTTCTCTATCCAACCATCAGCACCATCGTTGAGTTGTTTTGCATATTTACTGCGATCACCTAGTATAACCGTGTATTGTTTTTTAATTTCATTGATTTCTAAAATTGCATCTTGAATTGCTTTCCCATGACCTTTCATATCTCCATTGCTACATGAAAATATAGTTAAATTTTTGAACTCTTATTCTTTATATATAAATTTGATTCAGGTTAAAATCAGCACAAAATGCTGTAGTATATAATACTATATAAACAGCCGTCAGCCGATCGAATAGGGTAGAAGAGTAGAATATTCAACACAACTTTCGTTATCTAAGATCGAGATCGATTACATACACCCACTTCTTTTTGTGTTTACGAGATGTTGTGTACACAAGAATTGCAAAATTGCTGCAAGCTCAACTCACATAATATAATATTCAGCATTATTCAATCCGATCATGCACAAATTTCTGTATTTTTCTTCAGCAATACAAACGAGAGAAGTCTGAGCTTCTATCCAATTGACGTTGACTGTTTTTTGAAAAATTGTGAACGACGATATTTCATTCATGACAGCATCGGCTTTGTAACCTGAAATTTTCCACAATTGATATTTTACAATATTTCTTTCCAATATCGGCAATACTAATATTTTTCATGTGGAATTATCGAAATGAAACTATATAGTTGACAATATGGTTGGTTAAGCACTCCGTTTTGAAGCCTACTGCAATAGCACAATCATCATGAAACTATAATATTGTCACGGAATTTTGAAATTAGTCTGCTGACCGTTAGCACTAGTTCAGACTGTTCTTTCCGTAGTTTCTTGTCTTGTATGTTTCATCAGTATTATGTTACTACCTTTTCTTCCTCCCGATTTTTCGTTTTTGCATTCGCTCAAAGTTTTGGTGCATAGTATCACAAAATCATCCACATTCTGTTTATTCATCTTGTCGTCAAGATAACTGACTTTTATATCGACAATATGCTGGTCATCCAACTCCTGTGTAGAAAAACAGATAGATAGTCATTATATAAGTATTACATTATCACGAATTGTTTACTCTTAAACGATGAAAACATTTAGTCTTTTAGACCAAACAACATACTTCCAATTCATCCTGAGGTAACACGAGTGTAAATTGAATATGCTTCTTGGTATCTTCTGGCATTGCATGTATGAAGTACTTCAGCATCTTTCCGGAGGATTCCTGTAAATACAGGGTGTCTCAAAAGTAAGTATACACATTTAATTTTGATTTGCTTTTCAGGTACTTATCATAGAGCGTTAATTTCTTCAGAAAACATAGTATGGAAAAATGGTAAAATTTAGGAATTGTTTGCATTTTCCGACAACCCACAGAATGACAAGGAGATTAACTGACCCAAGAAATAAAGAGCAGAATTGCTGTTTGGCAAAAAGCATATCAATCAGTAAAGTAAACTCAGCCTCTCTTTAATAGAGAATTTGGAATTCATTCTGTTGTGAATGTTTTGCTCAGAGCGTCCGCTCCTTGGTGTTTCTGATCGTTGTGCATCAACTACAGATCCTTTTTTCATAAATTTACGATAAATTACATAAATTGTTCGTCGTGTAGAAGCCGAATTAATTCCAAATTGTCAAACAGCAATTTTGCATCTCATTTCTTGGGTTGATGAAAAATGCAAACAATACCTAAATTTTACTACTTATCCGTACTATGTTTCCTAAAGAAAAGAACGCTTTATGAAGAGTACATGAAAAGCAAATCAAAATTAAAAGTGTATACTTACTTTTGTAAGTACATCTTGTATATATATATATATATATATTTATATTATTTAATAATAACTTTGTTTATAATGTATTGTACAAACACTAAATAATGTTAATGAATCAATTCTGTGTTTCAGATCTTACCAATTAATCAAATTAATGTGATTTCACAAAAATTTTAAGATGTTACTCCAGTCAAACTCAGAAACATAATAGCTGGACAATGAATTAGCACATGCTAAACAAAATGAAAACAAGATTTCACTTGAATGAACGATCTACTTGATTTATTTTCTGATGACTACACTAATTTTCATATCACTTTCGTAGTTTAAGCAAAACATTGTTTAAATATGCACTCATCATATAGACATGCATTTATGATGCAGTAAAATGGGGTAAGCCCCAGATGAGTCACAAAACGCCATTTTTTCTCAATTTAACGAAATATTTTTGTCCTTGTAATTGGTCATATGTGACTGATGTTGAATCGTAGTCCTAAAAACTTCAAAACTGTTGTGATCATGAAAATAACCCTATCACAATTACCAGTAAATGTTTTCCATGAATGTGATTTTCATCGAAAACAATTCCTTTCAAGCAGTTCATGTCGATACTGACATCGGTAACTCGAGTTGTTTCCCTGGAAACATTGTACAAAGTTTGTGTTCTATGTTTCATTGTCGTCGGTAATAAACAAATATACCGTTTCCAAAAACAAATAAAAGTCTACGCGTCTATGGTTACGAGTTCGTGATACTTGTTTATGCAAATCAGACATGAGAGACTATAATATTTATAACCATAACTTTTGGGTTTTTCGATATAACAACGTAGTTCCCTCAAACCTCGGCTCCGCTTCCAGTGGTTGAAAATGGTAGCTGAAAGTTTATTACTCATTTCAAAAACATCTGTGCGCTCCATAAAATTCCTTTTTCCCTACGACGTTTTGTGTGATTACGCCTTAAAATTTGCGCAATGTACCGTGATTTCGTGATCAAATCTCAGTGATATGGTGGTCAGACTACGGGTACTGTAAAAGACTGATACTTTGTGTTGGCCTCCGTGTCCATATATTTGAGCATCCCCCCTTTTTATTATGTCATTTTTTCGCACACTCATACTTTGTGTCGAGAAGCGAATGATTGATTGATAGACCAATATAGCGCCTTTTCATATATTTTCAAATTCGCATTATTTAGTAAATATTATTGACATGATTGCGTAAAAATGCTTTCATACATTATTTATATATACCTAAGAAATACAGGTATTAGCATGTCAGCCTCAAATTCCTCTTCTTCGTTCAACCAATAAAACGCATCACTTCCGAGATGTCCTGCAATCTAAAATATAAAAAACAATTCCGTCAGAAACAAAATACTAGTAATTCAAATCAAAATAAATATTTCAAAAACATGAACTCAGATTCTAAAATATATTGTAATGCAAAATTAAACCAATTTACACCAATATGCTAGGGTAAAAACAAACGTTTATGTTGCTATATAGCCAGTGGCGTATCTACGTAAAATTGCGTACATGGCAAAGTTTAAAAATGCGCACCATTGGTCGTTGACTGATAATTTCAACGATTATAAAAATTATTTTATTGAAATATTTTACGTTTGAAACATTTCGCCCTTTTTGCGCCCCTACCCAAACCACAGTACAAAACCTCAGATACACCACTGTCCATAACTCTCGAATCCAACAACTCGAAAGAAAATGCAAATCAAGTAGAGGTATTTTGTTGAATGTTTATAGCTGACTATTGATTGAAACAATTGATGTAGCTTCGACCATATTCTGTCAATGAATGATTTATGTTATAGCGATGGACCTTAGCAATTTGTTTGGTTAAATGCACTATTATTAAACTTTTAGCACTCTCAGTTCACATTAAATTTTTTTGTACTGTATCAGTTTACCTCGTTCAGAAACACTGGTGCGTATTGACCGATTGTAAATGCGGAAATCGGTACACAGCTAGTTTTATTCATTGACTCCTGATAATTTTTGTATTTGATGACAAGTTGCTCCGGATCGGTTTCACCCGAATTGGCCATTCCATCCGTGAATACAATCATCAAATCTTGATCATGCTTTTCAGAATCTCTAGATAATGAGGAACGTTACAAAAACGTAACAAAATGAAAGAACTGTGAATTTGTTTCATGGAAGCTTACTGTTTAAGCACATGTAATCCTGCCATCAATCCAATTTCGAGATTAGTGCCACCTTTTGTATGGAGACTTCTAATAACGTCTTTTGCTTTAGTCTGAAAATATATATATACAGATATATATACGTACAAACATAGATGATATGGTTCAATAATATTTCATTTTTTTTTCGAATAATGGTCGTAGCATTTGTTGAAAACACTGTGCGAAATCCGCCAGAAACCCGAACAATACCTTGTACCCAAGCCTGGATTTGGTTTAATTTTGCCAAGTTTATGAGAACACAATCTTTTTCATATGTGCTTTTACGCAAGCCCAAGCTCGCCTGGAAAGCAAAAAGTTGTCATACTTGGGTACATACCCGGCCTTTACACAAGACCAGGCGATTGAATCAAACTTTGTGTAAACATAATATCGCAATATATAAAATGTATATATATATACATAGTGGAGCGATTCAGTTATTTTAGAATACTACGATTATTACTAACCTTAGCGGCATTGTTCATCACAGTCATCTTCATATCTGTATTGACATCATGAGAAAACGTAACTATGGCGAGTGAATCTGCATTTGCGATGTTTTGTACGACCAGTTCCGCGAATATCTAAATAAAAATAGAATTTTCCCTAGGCAGGTGGCTGTTATTCATAACGTTGCCACTTTTTAGCAGTATAATATTACCTTCACCCTGTCGAGTAAAGATTCTGATTCTTTGCCTATGTGACTGTCCATACTTCCACTCACGTCAATTACAAGGACGTAACGTAAAGGTAATCGGCGTTGAAGGTTTGTTTCAATGGCTGATAGTTCCATCACGACTTCAACGATCTATAATGTTCAAATTCAGAAATAATTACTTCTAAAGTTTTGTATTGTCAGCAATCAATGCAATGTACTACTAGCCTTGGATACAAGGACAAGGAATATTTTGCTTCAATGCCTACCTGCTTTTGAGTAACTTGACAAAAATATTTTGTTTGAAGTTGATCTTTGCCTTCGGTGGTCGAGACTGCCGTAGCACCAACTGCTTGTCTTTTGGACATTTTATTGTTAACATTTAATTTATCACACTCCAATAATTACAATCTACATTATTAAAAAAATATATTAAAAATAACAGCCTTCTATCGGTTCAATAATCTTTAAGTACTAAAAATGTGATATCGATTGTGTCATTAGTTGCGAGAAAGCCGATTTTCCAACAACAACAGCAATAACCTCAGCGATAAAAATTAAGCAAAACGATCCATGCGAACCAAATGAATCCACAAGTTTTGGATGCGGCACTGGAAATGAGTTCTGAACTAAATATCCTACATGTCACAAGTACAACGTGATATGGTTTGATAGTTTTCCGAATCGACTAAACTTAAAGGGAAACCTTTTTAATATTGTGAGCAAAATACTCTTTCCGCCTTTGTTCTCTTAAACTGTTATTTGTTGATCTACTCGACTGGGAGTTGCTTCTTTCTTTCATAACGTATAGTTTCAAGTTTGTAAACAACAACCATTCAATGTCAACGAGTTTCCATGAATGTACTTATTTCTTATCTCCGATCTAACAAATCTACTTATTTGTTATCTCCGACTATTTGTCCTCGTTCTGCTGACTTGTAATATTTCAAGTGTTGTGTCACGGCGACATCTTCTCCAAAACAATACACAACTATGTAGCTTGTCATTGGTTGCTTACGACTTTTATGTCAGAAACCGTCCCAACTTCAATCCAGAACCAATAATTTTTGCATATTTATTTGCATTGAACACCAATTTTCAATTTTGATTTGTTGAGACGAATCCCAATGAAACATATCAGAGGCGGGGAACCCCCGTGCAATATTTGTATGTTTTGCTGTATGTACGAATAATTCTAAAAACTGTGAATGTATATACAAACGAAAGCCTAAAATTTGTAAAAAAAAACCTTTAAAATGTAGAATGTCTAATAATAGTGATTAACTCAATAAGTATATGATTATATTAAAACAATGTAAATATAATAATATAGGGAACCACTGTACTGGCGGAATTTTAGGCCTATGGTGCCACGGAATCCCGCGTGAAAACAACTCCTATACACATACAGTATATTGAAATGTATTTTATTTAGGAGTTTAACAAGGAAAGTTTCCGAGCAACGCTCTTCGTCCTAATATTTTAAAAGGCATATTAATAATGCTACGTCATTCAAGCTGTCACAATTCGATGACAATATATTATGGTATACTGTAAATAGTATCGGTCAAAAAACGAGCAAAATCTTTACAGCTGAACATTAAATAACACTGAAATAAATACATGATAAATTGATAAGACTGAAAAATTTAGAATGCCGAATTCGTAAGAAAAGAATATACAAGGTTGAATGCATAGGATTGAAGAAACGGCGATCGAGGAACCCATGTGCACCCATCTAATTCTACGATAATCCAGTCATGATATAGTATCCAGTATATGGTAATTTTATCAATTGTTTGAGCGGAAAATGGGGCTCGCATTATGAAGATCCTTCTTCCAGGCATTCATGATATTAACTTTTTCGAAAAAGATAACTTTCCATATTTAAAAACTTTTTTCTTCTAATGCATTCAAACAAAAAATCCTTCCGAACGATTGGAATCTGAAAATTAAGACATAATTTCTTAGCATCTTATTATGATAAAATAAGTTATCATACGCTTATTAAATATTTGTATATAACTTCTTAGTGAGAATGTCTTTTAGACCCCAGAAATGTGAATATGAAAATTATATTTTTTTTAAATTTTTAAATAAGAAGCCTATTTCCAAAATAATTTATTGTGTGAGAATTGAGACGATGAGTTTACAAATATGAATTTAGTTCATAGTAATTAAAAGTAAATTTCATGTCTGCTGGTAGAAATCCATCATCAAATCCTTCATTGTACTTAGACTTAGTATGTTATTGAGTATACATTGTACCTTTACTTTTCTAGAATCACGAACTGACATTGAATTTTTTTTATAATCTTTTTTGCAACAAACGAGTAAGAAATCATCATAGTTCTTTTCGACATACCAGCCAGGTCTCATTTTATAAGGATTCACAATAACAAAATATTCTGAAAACAAGTTCTGTCAAATAACACTCGCCATAAAGCTAATTTATTTAATATTTTTTCTAGTTTGATAAGTCCTCAATTTTAAACAATAAGCTGTATATATTTAGATTTCTGTATATACATGTTTTACAGTTTTATATATATATAAATCGTTGTATCACAAATGCTATGGTTTTATTAATGCTATGATTTTATTAATTTTCATTGATAAAATCGATAACTACCTTGCAATTCATATACTTTAAATGAGTATTATAACAAGATAAATGAATATTATAATGAAATATATTCATATTTATTTTCTTTAACGGAAATATTTGACTATTGGCACTATTTGAAAATTGCGCTACGATTGTATGGTTGTATGGTAACATTGGACTTCACCAACAGTTTTTTGTTTCATCGATTAAAGTCTCTATGTAAAAAGATTGTAAATTAATATTTTTTGAGAAAAATATACAATACCTGGCCTTCCTCCGCACCTTATTACAATTTCTGCATACGATTCTCGTTTTGCTCCAATTTTTCGTGTTCGTAAAGTTTCTGATATGAGTACCGTTTTCCCCTCAAAGACGCTACAAACAAAATTAGAAATTTGTCATCAAGCAATCTTTGTTTATCTTCAAAATGTAGGATGGTTCTTCGCGAGCGGTTAAATTGAGCGAATCATAATGGTTTAGACTCGCATATTCCATTATTTTGAAATAAAGAAGTCATGTCATGAGTTGTTCAATCGGTGAGTCATTTACACTTCGAAGCACCGGATTTTAGACGTGTTGATCTCCAAATTGCGCAGTCCACTACTCAGCTATACGAATAAGAGAAATGTGAAATATTGCTAGTTTTACCTCTAAATACATACAAACAGATCTCTAAAACGTACTTGGAGGTTCCGAAATCCTCAAGCCTTTTAAACTTCTTTACAATCTGAAACAATAGGAGAGAGAGAGAGGGAGAGATATTTTATAGGAAAGAAAAGACGTAAAAGTAAATTATTTTTTCGACAAATACCAATAAATTGGAGGAAATTCCAAATGATGCAAGTGTTTCAGATTTACAGAAACAAATAGTTTTAAAACACAGAATTCACAAGATATAAGCGAAACTTATGGCAGCTAATATACTGCGAATTAATTTATCTACACTGTAAAAGTACTAGTTTTGAAAAATCTAAACTTTTTATCAACATAATAAATAGGAATTAATACTCGTTCGTATTCTCTCAATCTTTTCTGGATATTTTTGGGGATGTACAGTCGTTTTTGCTCCATGTGTTAAACACCTTTTACAACACGCATTTCTGTAGCGGTTGGTGATTGGAACTCAAAAAATAAAACTGATCTTGTTGTGGAATAGTTATCCTGAAATGTTTTAACGTATAGAGTTCAATTACCGACCTACCTTTTCATAGTGTGTGAGCTTCTTTTCAATTTCATAATGCAAATATGGCTGTTTGATTTTCGGATCGAAAACTCCTCTCGCTGTTGGCATTTCTGTAGCTATGGAGGATTGCATTGCAAAAAGTCTACCAAGACTTTCTTCTCTATAAGCAGAAATAATCAAACTATTTTGTATTGAATATTTTTTAAATTTTGCTGATGTCCAAGACATCCAATGTATAGAAATTGATATAGAGACAATTAGCCAAGTTTTGTATTGATACCTCGTTATCTTGAAAGATAGCAATCGTTTACGATTGAGTTTAAAAAGTGACTCCAAATAACGACTCAGTGACTTGAGTAATAATGCTGTTTGATATCAGATACACAGCTATCTGTTTTAAATTAAAATTGATCCACTCGATCAAGTAATTCTGGTGAATCATTTATATTGCTTGCTCAGGCATTTACTACTAAAACCTAAGATCTTACAATCTTTATGAACGTACGTTTTAATAGTTTTTCCAAAATTAAGTTTTTTTATCCAGCTATCAGCATCATCGTTGAGTTGTTTCGCATATTTACTGCTATCTCCTAGTATAGCCGTATATTGTTTTCTAATTTCATTGATTTCTAAAATTGCATCTTGGATTGCCTTCCCATGTCCTTCCATATCTCCATTGCTACATGGAAATATAGTTATACTCTTAAACCTTATATATAAATTTGATTCAGGTTAACATCAGCATAAAATGCTGTATGTATAAAATACTATACAAGCAGTCGGCAGCCGGCCGGGTAGGCCCATTATAGCATAGAATATTCCATATTTTAAAACAATTTTCGTTATCTAAGATCAAGATCGAGTGCATACACCCACTTCTTCTTGTGTGTACGAGATGTTGTGTACACAAGTATTGCAAAATTGCTGCAAGCTGTTCAACTCACATAATATAATTTTCAGCGTTATTTATTCCGATCATGCACAAATTTCTGTATTTTTCTTCAGCAATACAAACGAGAGAAGTCTGAGCTTCTATCCAATTGACGTTAACTGTTTTTTGAAAAATTGTGAATGACGATATTTCATTCATGATACTGGCTTCGTGACCTGAAATTTTACACATATAATATTTTACAATATTTCTTTCCGATATCGGCAATACTAATATTTTTCATTTAGAATTATCAAAAATTTACCTAGATGGTTATTTTTAATTCCCCTCTTCTAAAAGCCACTACAACAGCAGAATCACCGTAAAACTATAAATTGATACTAAATTTTAATTAGATTGCTAATTTTCGGTTCAGACCAGTTTAGTCTTTTCCGTCCACCAGACTGTTTTCTCCGTCTATTGTATTCTATGTTTTATCGGTAATATGTTTTTACCTTTTCTCCCTCCCGTTTTTTCGTTTTTGCATTCGCTCAAAGTTTTGGTGCATAGTATCACAAAATCATCCACATTCTGTTTATTCATCTTGTCGTCAAGATAATTGACTTTTATATCGACAATATGTTGGCCATCCAACTCCTGTGTTGAAAAATAAATGGATAGTCATTATCGATAACATTACAATTACAAATCGATTACATTATCCCAAATTGTCCACTATTCAGATTGCTTTAAAACGTTGAAAACATTTAGTCTAGCTTTAGACCAAACAACATACTTTCAATTCGTCATGAGGTAACACGAGTGTAAATGGAATATGCTTCTTGGTATCTTCCGGTATTGCATGTATGAAGTACTTCGCCATCTTTCCAGAAGATTCCTGCAAATATATATTATTTTCGTAGTAAATTAGTTTTTATAATGTATTGTACTCAGTATGGCAAGTCCGATGTTCAGTACAAAAAGTAAATAATGTTAATGAATCCATTCTGTGTTTCAGATCTTACCACCTAATCAAATTAACGTGATTTCACAAAAATTTCAAGATGTTACTCAAGTCAAACACAAAGATGTAATCGCTTGACAATGAATTAACACAACATGTCAAACAAAATTAAAACAAGATTTTCACTAAAATGAACGATCTAATGATTTAAAAGCTGATGACTACACTAATTTTCATATATATAAATTTTGTAGTTTATGCAAAATAATATTTAAATATGCACTCATCATGTATACATACATACATACATACATAATCTAGTAATATGGCAAGGGTAAGAGCCAAATTATCCACAGAAATTACAATTTTTATTTTAATTCAACAGAACATCTTTTTCATTGTAATTGGTCATATGTGATGTTTAATCGTTGGCGTAAAAATCAAAACTTTTGTAATGATGAAAACAATACTATCACAATTACCAGTAGATGTTTTCCAGAAATGTGATTCTCATCGAAACTAACGCCTTTCAAGCAGTTCATGTCGATACTGACATCGGTAACGCGAGTTGTTTCCCTGGAAACATTGTACAAGTTTGTGTTCTATATGTCTCATTGTTATCAGTAATGAACAAATACATTATACCGTTTCCGAAAACAAACAAAAGGTCTACGCGTACATGGTTACGAGTTCGTTATACTTTTCTATGCAAAGATGAGAGACTCTATGAGAGATGAGAGACTCTAATATTTATAACGACAACTTTGGGTTATGCGATATTCCCTCCGACGTAGTGGATGGTTTTGTTATCATGTTGTTGTTGTGAAAAAAATCGCTATTCTCTTTTCAACTATCTAACCAATTGCTTTGTGATTTTCAGTGGTTGTCGCTAAATGATTCTTACTCGTTTTTATTCCAAAAATATCTGTGCGCTCCGTGGAATTCGGTTTTCAGTCCGACGTTTTGTGTGATGACGTCATAAAAAATGCAAATTAAGCACCGTGCCGTGGTTTCGTGATCACATCCCAGTGATCTGGCGGTTAGGCCAGGGTTGCCATATTGGTTTTTTAACGCCAAATTTGCAATTTTTGGCTTTTTTCAAACGCGTTTGGCGTCAGAATTTCCGTTTGGCTTTTTGGCGTTTTTTTGGCTGTTCTCAAGTCTATTCTAGTGTCTATTATTAAAATCATGTGAAATACAATATTTAGTGTGTAACAACTGAACAATAGCCTATTACCTGTACTTAGCTACTTAACATTAGGATTTCGTTTTACGTTCTGTTTCCGAAAAATAGTTGTATAACTTAACTTTCATTATGCCTGATATGGTTTATGTGAGCTTTAGTTTAATTCTGCAATTGCAGTTACGATGTGATTAACTACCCTAAAATTACTGAATTAGATATCAGTGGTCCACCTGTGAGCGGCAAGGGGGTTAGATAACTTTTTAATAAAATTGATGGTTTGTAAATTTTAAAAGTGAAAAAATTTTCAGTAGTAAAGTACGATATAGGGAGAATTTTTCAAGGTATATCACAAGTTTAAGTAGAAACATGTAGATATATTACATACTGACAGACTGGAGCGGCACTCTGTATTGTATATATTGAATGGTAAAATAATGCTGTCCGCTTGATATTTATTTTACTTTCCACAGTTCTATAGGAACTTGCTTTTCTATGTGTGTGCCTCACTGAATGAACTGATGGCTCTATACATCATCATCAGTACGTTGCCAAGGGCTTAAAATCTGACAAATCATGGGGATTTTGTAATTAGTAAAATTGTTGGCTTTTTCTGGCTTTTTTATGTCTTGATTTGGCTTTTTATATCGCTGGGGTCTAGCAACCCTGGGTTAGGCTACCGGTAGCGAACTGTACAAGTTTTGATATTTCGATATGTCCTCTTTGTCCATATATTTGAGCATTTCTTTCTTGATTACCAACAATTTTTGCACACTCGTACTTTGTGTTGAGGAAGGAATGATTAATTTATTGATAGATCCATCCATATAGTGCCATTTCATATATTCTCAAATTCTTATAAGACAGCGAATAATATTGACAGGATTGCGTGAAAATTGTTTATTTATACATACCTAAGAAATACGGGTATTAGCATGTCAGCCTCAAATTCCTCTTCTTCGTTCAACCAGTAAAACGCATCACTTCCAAGATGTCCTGCAATCTAAAATATAAAAAGTCAAGAACAAAATACTAGTATATATATTATATTAAAATTCGGAAGTTAATGTTTCAAAAACATCTTTTATTTTAAAATTGCTTGTAATTAATGGATGTGCACCAATAGGCTAAGATAAAAATAAACGTGTATCTTGGTATTTCTAACTCTCAAATCTAACGACTTGTAAGAAAATAAAAATTAGGTTTAGGTAATTTGTTAAAGTTTTATAGCTGGCTATTGATCGAATCAATTGATGTAGCTTCGACCCTATCCTGTCAATAAATGATTTAAATTATATATTAGTGGACCATGGCAATTTGTTTTGGTTTCGTGGACTATCATCAAAACCCTCGTCACTCCCAGTTCCCATTAACATTTGAATCAAATATTTATAATGTATCAGGTTACCTCTTTTAGCAACACTGGTGCGTATTGACCAATTGTGAATGCCGAAATTGGTACACAGCTAGTTTTATTCATTGTCTTCTGATAATTTTTGTATTTGATGCCAAGTTGCTCCGGATCGGTTTCGCCTAAATTGGCCATTCCATCCGTGAATACAATAATCAAATCTCGATCATGCTTTCCAGAATCCCTAGATAATAAGGAACGTTACAAAAACGTAATAAAATGAAATTAAATATCGTAAATTTGTTTTATGTAAGCTTACTGTTTAAGCACATGTAATCCTGCCATCAGTCCAATTTCAAGATTAGTTTGACCTCTTGTATCGAGACTTTTAATAACGTTCTTTGCTTTAATCTGAAAATATATACGTAGAAACATAGATGGTATGGTTCAATATTATTATTTTTTTTTTTGTTGAATAATGGCCGTAGCAAATTTGTTAAAAATACTATGCGAATAGACCAGAAACTCGGACAATACCTTGTACCCAAGCCTGGATTTAGTTTAATGTCAATTCCATGAGATTATAATCTTTTCTCCAATCGCTTTTACACAAGCTCAAGCTCGCCCAGAAAGCAAAAAGTTATTCATACTCAGGTACATACTAGACCAGACAATTTGTGTAAACATATTATTGCGATGTATACATAGTGTACCGATTCAGGTATTTCAAGTTACGCCGATTAATATCTAACCTTAGCGGCATTGTTCATCACAGTCATTTTCATATCTGTAATAACATCATCTGCAAACGTGACTATGGCGAGTGAATCTTCAGTAGCGATGTTTTGAACGACCAGTTCCGCGAATATCTAAAACCAATCATTAATAAAATATTAGATTTTTCCCATGCGGTTGTATAATATGTATATAGCAGTATAATATGACCTTGACTCTGTCGAGCAAAGATTCCGATTTATTGCCTACGTGACTGTCCATACTTCCACTCACGTCAATTACAAGGGCGTAACGTAAAGGTAATCGGCGTTGAAGTTTTGTTTCAATGGCTGATATTTCCATCACGACTTCAACGATCTAAAATGTTCAAATTCCATAATCAATCATCTCTAAAGTTCTGTATCGTCAGTAGCCAATGTATTGTACTTTCAGCCCAGGGTACAATAACCAGAAATATTTTGCTTCAATGCTAACCTGCTTTTGAGCACTAACTTGACAAAAATACTTTGTTTGAAGTTGATGTTTGCTTTTGGTGGTCGAGACTGCCGTAGCACCAACTGCTTGTTGATTTGACATTTCAATGTTAGCATGTAATTTATCACACTACAATAATAATTAGATTCAACAAATAAAAATAACAGCTTTCTATTGGCTTCACTCATCCATGATTGCTGAAAATTTTATATCGATTGGGCAATATTAGTTGCGAGACAACCGATTTTGTTCAACAACAACAACTACAACAATCATAGCTATGAATAATCAGCAAAACGATCCATAGCTACAGTTCGTGACCAACAATGCAGCATTCTTAATAATGGTACATGGCATATTTTTTCATCTCAAATAAACTCAAGAAAATTATTGGTAGCATTCAACGTTGTTTTGGTCTCCAGCATGAATTTATTTTGGAAATTACGATAGACTCGGCACCAAAATTTCAGATATATATGTACCAAAACACTATAACGAAAGCGCGAGTAAGAAGGAATAGTATCTACACAACTAGAATTTAAATTAATAGCCCCGTATAAGCAACAGATGCAGGAATCATTGCCCTAACCCTCTTGAACAACAAATGAATTTCGCTGGGACGCTCGGTCAAGATTTGTGCTTCGAAAAGCCTATTTTGTCATGCGGTCAAAGCAACCCTTTGGAAATCTTTACTATAAATAAGTCTTGATGTGTGTCTACAACCAAATTAATCAAAATTAAATTAAAAAGTTTTGAATACGGCTCTGGAACTGAGTTCCCGAACTATATATCTTACGTGCCAAAAGTACATCGTAATATACTTTGCTAATTTCGCGAAAGCGCTGAAGGTAAACCTTTTTAACAAAGTGAGCAAAACTATTGATTTGCAAATCTTGCTTGGATCTGCAAATCAATTTCTTTCTGTATAGTACATGCAAGGGATTATTTTCTTTCCTTCTTTACGCGCTTTGAGTCATATATGCGGCATAATCTCTGAACTGCCTTTTACAGCTCTTCAGTGGACGAAATTGTACTACGATCTTAAATATTGAATGTAAATCAATTGCTTCAATATCATTCGATTGGGTATTTACTAATTATTATAGACATGAGTTACAAAGAAACAAAAGTGCTTGACAAAAGAACTAATTATTTGTTTTCTTTGCCTGATTCGCAGACGCTGGGATATTTGAACATCAGAAAAGCTTTGTCGAGTAGGTACAACACAACAAATGCATCTGACATACTGACATTTTACTGTACGTATTCTGTAAATCATTATATCATTACTTGTAATTTAAATAAGTCAACTTATGTGAATGCAGCTCTACTTTGCTTTTTTATCGGTCCTTTCCGCCTTTGTTCTCTTAAATTGTTATTTGTTGATCTACTCGACCGACTGTGAGTTGCTTCTTCCTTTCATGACGTACAGTGTCAAGTTTGTAAACAACCTTTCAATGTCAACGAGTTTTCATGAACGTACTTATTTCTTATCTCCGATTTAACGAATCTACATATTTGTTATTTCCGACTATTTGTCCCTGTTCTGCTGACTTGTAATAATTCAAGTGTTGTGTCAGGCGACAGCCATACATCAAATATGTAGCTTGTCATTGGTTGCTTACGACTCTTATGTCAGAAACCTTCCAAATTCTCTCCCATTCTTATTTGCATTAAACTCGAATTTTCATTAATTTTTAATTTTCTTTTGTTGAGACGGAACCTCAATGAAACATATCAGAGGCGGGGAACCCTCATGCGATACTTGTATGTACGGAGAATTCTATAAACTGTGAATGCATATATATGAGAAAGCCGAATAATTGCAAAACAAATGATCTTTGAAATGTAGAAAGTTTAAGAATAGTGGTAAACCCAATAGTTATGTGATTATATTTAAACAATGTAACAATCTGATGATTCGAATGAAAACCTGTGGAACCCTTGCAATGTACAAGCGGAACACTCCTTGCCTTGGAACCACTCACTCCTACACACATTTATTGAAATGTATTTTATTTAAGAGTTTTTTAAAGAAAGTTTCCGAGCAACGCTCTTCGTCCTAATATTTCATAAGGCATATCAATCATGCTACATCATTCAAGCTTGTATACCTTAGTTAAGTATACATATCACGATTCGATGACAATTTATGGGTGTACTGTAAAATAGTATCGGCCAAAGAGCGAGCAAACTTTTTACAACTGAATATTAAATAACATTACAATAAATACACGATGAGAGAAAAAAATTAGAATCCCGAGATCGTAAGAAAAGAATAGACAAGGTCAATGAATAAAATTCAAGAAACGACAATCGAGGAACCTATATGCACTTATCTAATTCCACGATAATCCAGCTGGACATGGTAATGTTATCAACTATTTGAGTTACAATTGGGTGTCGTAGTGCGAATATCCTTCTTCCATGCCTTCATAATATTGACTTTTTTGTACTACTTACAAGATTTCATGGAAAATTATAAAAATAACTTTCCATATTTAAAAACTTTTTCCTTCTAATGCATTCAAACAGAAACTCCTTCCGAACGATTGGAATCTGAAAAATGAGGCATAATTTATTTTCGCGTCTTATTTTGATGAAAGAAGTTATCATACAATCATTAGCTACTCGTATGTAATTCTTATATTAAGGTGAGAATGTCCTATATACCCGAGAAATGAGAAAAAAAAAATTTATAAGAAGACTGTTTGCAAAATATATTATTGCGTGAGAACTAATCATGAAGAGTTTACGAATGTGCATTTAGTTTATAGTAATTAAAAGTAAATTTCTTGTCTGCGAATAGGAATCCTTTATTGTACTTGAATTTTGTATATTATTAAGTATACACTGTACCTGTACTTTTCTGGAATCGCGAACTGACATTGAATTCTTTTTATAATCTTTTTTACAGCAAACAAGAAAGAAATCATCATAGTTTTTTTCGACATACCAGCCAGGTCGCTTTTTATAAGGATTCACAATAACAAAATATTCTGAAAAACAAGTTCTGTCAAATAACACTCGCCATAAAACTAATTTATTTATGATTTCATTTAGTCCGATAAGTCATCAATTTTAAACAATGAGCTGTTTATATTTAGATCCCTGTATATTCATAGTTTTACAGTTTTCAATATATCACGTTGTATCACAAATCACAAATGCACATCGAGAATACAAATACGAGATGAAACGCATATCGATGTCTCAAGTCTATTTTGTATGATTTTATCAATTTTCATTGATAATTAAATCGATAACAAACTTGCAATTCATATACTTTAAATTAGTATTATAACAAATTGGCATTCAAATAACCTAAAAGGTAATGGAAACATATCAACATATGTTTGACTATTGGCACTATTTGAAAATTGCGCTACGATTGTATGGTAGCATTGGACTTCACCAAATGTGCTTCGCTTTCTCGATTTAGGTCTCTATGTAAAAAGACTGTGAATTCATAATTTTCGAGAAAAATATACAATACCTGGCCTTCCTCCGCACCTTATTACAATTTCTGCATACGATTCTCGTTTCGCTCCAATTTTTTGTGTTCGCAAAGTTTCTGATATGAGTATCGTTTTCCCTTCGAATACTCTACAGATAAAATTAAAAATTTGTCATATCGTCACGCTAATAACCGAATTGCGTAAGCCATTTTTAGAAGTTTTGAGAAAAACGTAAAAAACTTCCTAATGATATTGTTATGCCATTGAGAGTCAATAATTTGCCATGGTTCAATTTTTTGATCGTAGCCGGATTTAAGTTAATTTGTATTATGCAGTTAAGTGACGTCATAATGGCGCACTGTGACTCAGGAAGAAATGTGTCTATGACTTGGGGACATACGCATTTTTGCAACTTTACTATATGCACCAGTCCTGAAAACCAAACATTCCAAAAACGAATGTATTTCTCAGTATCTACAATGTCTAATCTCCAAAATAGCTAATCAGTTTCAATTACATTATTTTTTATGTTCAAAAATATATATTTTATCAATATATATAACACGTTCTGCACACCCACCGAAATAAGACTAAGATTAAATAAAAAGAATAAAACAGCAATGCACCCAATATAAAAGCCAACCAAGGTGTATTGGACTCGGACAATGAATATCACAAGTGCACGCCTTCCTATACTGTAGTATAAATTCAAATTAATACGCACTAAGCTAGAATCCGAGATGCAAAAACTCGAAAATACTTCGCCGAGGTTATTTTGCCTTTGTGGCGTCACAATAGTCCTGCGGTAACAATGATAAATCATTATGACGAAACAATTTCACAAATGTGCATGTCATACTAAATCTCCGTTTTTATGAGTTTCGGAATTCTTAAAATAAAATCTGAGTTAACAGACAGGTGCGCAGCATCACATAAATACCTATTTTATAAAAAACTCAAAATTATTAAAAATGACTTACGCAATTCGGTTATTAGCGTGACGATATGTCATCTCTGTTTTTCTTTAAAATTCAAGACGATTCTCCGTAATTAAGCGGTTAAGTTACACAAATCATAGATGTTTAGACTGCCATACTGTATTTCATTATTTTTGAAATTTGAAAAAGAGCTATGAATGGCGATTTTAAATGTAATGTAGTATATTTTGATGATGATGACTTTCAACGAGGTTGTTCTAGTAGAATTTGAGTGATGGTTGCCAATCATGTTCTTTATTTAGATGTTTATTTGGGTAGTTATTTACTTTCAGTTCACAGATGTCAAAGCAACGGCTTTTGAGCAAGTGGATATTATCTCAGAATTGCCCAGTCCACTACCCGTAGCTACGAATAAGCGAAATGTGAAAAATCTTGGCAGTTTTACATCTAAATACAAATATTCAAACAGATCTCTAAAACGTACTTGGAGGTTCCGAAATCTTCAAGCCTTTTGAACTTTTTTACAATCTGAAACAAACGAAAGAGAGAGAGAGATTTTATAGGAAGGAAAATGCGTAAAAATAAATTATTGTTTCGACAAATACCATTGAGTTGGAGGAAATTCCAAATGATGCAACTGTTCGCGGAAACAAATAGTCATTTAAGAAGATTGCACAAGATATACGCAAAACTACTGCCAGGTAATATGCTGCGAAGTAATTCACCTAAACTGAAAAAGTACTTATTTTAAAAAATCAAAACTTTTTATCAACAGGTTAAATACCTACTCGTTCGTATTCTCTCAATCTTTTCTGAATATTTTTGGGCATGTACAGTTGTTTTTGCTCCATGTGATAAACACCTTTTGCAACGGGCATTTCTGTAGCGATTGATGATTGTAAAGCTGCGATTCTTCCGTAGTTATATGGACTGTATACAACAAAATAATAAACCGGAAATAAAAATCAGAATTTTTTTTATATGAATTAAAAGATAATTTTAAATAGATAATATAATATCACCAATTGAAATTTATTGTAATATGGCCGAGAGACCATGAATATATTTCATTTGGAAAACGCAAAAGCGTCAAACACAAGAAACCCCAATTTCTTTCATTCTTCAAGTTAATCTACCTCTATCTCATTTCCAAACTTATGACTTGTAAATCGAGAATTAGCATCATGGTCAGTGCTCATACATTACTTTAGTAGAAGTATGTATATAATTTAATTTTTACTTCAAAATCAGCATAGCAGGTGATAAAATAAAGCGAATTGAAACTGATTACAGAATTAGATTGCAAGACTTTTTTTATATTCCACAAACATTTCTACATTTACAACAATTAGCTGTGACTTTTAATGGTGGAATTTGATATTTGATAACTTCTGATACATAATAGTTGGCGTCGATTGTTGATTAACGGCGAACCCAAACCCTATGGGACAGCATAGCGAGTGGATGGACGCGAACCCATGTGCACGAGTCGTAAGTCATTGTGGCATTGCTGTGTGATGTGAAATCTACCGAGTTATTAATTGGAAATTTTGGAATGTACTTACTTGGCGATAGATTTGCCAAAGTTCAACCTTTCAATCCAGTCATCTGCACATGCGTCGATTCTTGCTGTGCACTGATTTTTATGTCCGAAAATGACAGTTCTGTACGTTGTCTTGATGTCGAGGATACTGGAAATGGCTTGTTCAAAAGAATTGACTGTGAGATGATCTTCCTCTTCTCTAAAACGAATAATAATTAGTATATATTGCAATCGCAAAATATGCTAAAATTCGATGCAAATTGAAGTAAAATAGATTAAACGGAGTGTGGAAGGATTGCAACACATCAGTGTATAGATAGAATATTCAATATTGTATAATATTGGGTACCCCTGAAGTATGCGCGCCAAGATGTCGCATAACCTGAACCCTAACCTGGTACACAACTTGATTTCAGGTTGTGCGCCATCTTGGTGCGCATACTTCAGGAGGTCCTAAAATTGTATAGAGGAGTTTGATAGCTACCGGTATCTGTGGGATTAGTAGCGCGAATGATGAAAAATCTTGATTTACGACGGCATAACATCGTATGTGAGTTTTCGAAAGCGCTACCGGCGCAGGCGGTAATAGCGCTACTGACCACTGATCGCAACGAACGAGATTTACTTTTAAGTTAATTCATCCGTTTATTAAAGAGTTTTAAAATCTCACAGTATATGGTATAGAACGTTGTCCAGTTCATTCATACTCAATTCTCTACAATCTTCTCTCACGATCATTTCTAAAGCTTCCTGAGCTGCAATCCAAGATGAATCCACTATATTGTTTTCAATCGTGTACGCTGCAATGCCGTCAGTGATATCTGAGTATCTTACTCCTTTTTCTGCCATACAATTGTGAAATATTAAAACAACGTCATAATATACTAGCAAATTGAACTTTGGTGTATGAGCGCACTTAGTAATTACCGATGTATTATGTATGTAGTAATACATGTACCTACCTCTTTTACCTCTGGCTCTGCATTTCCTCAAATTCAAAGCAGAAAATAATACGAAACCGTTTAACTCTCTCTTTTTCAAGCTTCCATCCGTAAAGCTAACTTTGATTTCGACAATCCTTTCCTTTCGAAAATTCTGTAAATTGAGATAATTTTGATTATATGCATATGTTTGATTGAATTTAAAAAACGGTGATATACAATTACATGTATTGTTAGTCGATGTTGAAAAATTATTACAATTATTTATATTTTTGTCATTATTCCAAACGTGGTAAAGAAATTTACAACTGCAATGTGAGCGGAGTATAAAGTTTAGCGATTGTCGTTGTTTTCACTCTTATCTGTTATGCGCACGGGTAAAACTGTACAATTTATACATAAATGTAAGGGTATTGTTACTATTTGTTCGCTTTGTAAATGTAAGTCAATATGCCTCGAGTCCCAAGATTACTTCTGCTTATTTGATTGACATAAGTTGCTCTATTATACATAACAATATCATATTATGCTTTACCTTTAAACTCCTCTCAGGTGGGATGATTGTAAATGAAATGTGTTTCTTGACTCCTCCCGGTATAGAATGCACAAAATATTCCAGTTCTGACAGAGATGAGCTCTGTGACGGCAAAATTTTACTGTTGGCGCATTCAAATATAAATAATTAGGTACATTGTAATCACTGAAGTAGTTATAATTTTTTTTTCTCAGTTAATGTTTCTCTTCAACTACTGGACAAATTGCGTTAGAATTTTCAGTGGTTAAAGATTGTTGTTGTCGCTAAACGATTATTACTTTATTTATTCCTAAATTTTCCATGAATCCCATGATATTTGATATCCAAAATTATGCAGTTATATTTTTACCCGTGGAACGCGGTTTTTAATCCGCTAAACGTGACAACTGACTTCAGTTTTGAGATCGCAAACTCGTGTCACGCGAAAGTCGAAATCTTTTCGATACCAGTGACGCACTGTAAACTAGGTAAGGTAAGTTACTGTAAACGGTAAAGTACTGTAAACGATTTGAAAGTGCATTTGTGAGTCACATCATTTGATATTTTAATTCACTCTGGCACAATACGCATGAATCGCCATCGTTACACAGGGCCGGGTAATGCTAGGACACTCCGGGTACAGGTTCTAGTAAGTTCAGAAGTTATCATGCTCCACAGTTGCAGTTTCATCCACTTAGATATGATTTATTGGGAAATTGTGGGTAAAAAATATTTAGTTTAAGCCTCCTTGTCCTTATATTTGAGCATTGTTCTCTTGTTGCTTGAAGTCCTTAAGCAATAATTTACGCTGCCCTGTCTAGATGAGTATTAGGTATGGATAAAATGTTACTTGTAAATGTTTTCTTGACAAGGAATCGGCATCGAATGTAAAATCCAACAAGCACTTCATTTGAATAGTAATGTCTGATATTGCAGTTGTCTCCCTGTCATATAGTGATAGTGAAAAAGCGTAGATAAATAAAAATTAAAACCGCGAAAAAGATTTACATAATCTTATATCAATAGAAGTACACCTGTTTACTAACGAGACGAAGACATTATGCTGAATTATTGATGATATGCTGTTAATCAAGTGGTTATAGAAATATATATAAGAACTTATATACTGGCTCAGTTGTTTTTGTCACCTCAAAAATATTGGAAGAAGCATATCGGATTCAAAGTCTTCTTCCTCGTTCAACCAGTAAAAAGCTTCACTTCCCAGAAAATCAGCTAACTGAAAACATTACGGATTGATTATAGAAAGTCAGTACAATTCTTTCGGAATTTACGAAATTAAAAGAATTCAATGATCGTATTTGTGATTGTAACAAACTTCTGTAATCTCACTTCTGCTAATAAGACAGGGAGGTATTGGCCGATTGTGAATGCTGATACGGGAACACAAGTTTTTCTTCCCATATTATCTTGACGTTCTTTGTAATTTTTCACCAGAGCTTCTACATCTTGTTCCCCTGTGTTTGTTTCTCCGTCGGTGAAAAGTATAATGCAGTCCCGGGAATGTGGCGAAGGATTCCTGGTTTGAAATATTCTACGTTTAATTGAATGCTCCCTCTCTGCTAGTTTTTTTTCAAGGTATTAATTTGTATTGATATCTATACATAAGAACAAAATTTACTTTGCTATGACATCAAGTCCAGCCATCAATCCGGATTCCAGGTTCGTGTTTTGCTTCGTATGAAGATATTGCACAACATTTCTTGCTAATTCCTGAAATTAGTAATTAAGTTGATGTATTCTTAGAACTTGCATTTGCGGGTTTTTTATTGTAGTGATGGGATTCAGTTTAATTTTCCCCATCTTGGTATATCTATTGGCTAATTAAGGTAACCATTGATCACGGCTTTCTCCACACACCACCCAAACGCATCTAATCTTTACTTTTATTTTTTTGATTGCATATGAAGTAAACCTAATTTTACACAATAAATAGGCATTGGTATTAAACAAGTAAAGCTATTGACTTTTTCATCTTCTGACATGACAGTCATTTCTAACTCCACTTCTGCTTCATCGGAAAACGTCACAATTGCCAAAGAATCTTCTTCTGATATTTCATCAATGACTAATTCGGCAAATATCTGAACCAGAAAAATTTAAAACTTGATCATTATTGTAGCTTGTATTTGGCTAATAGCCTCACATTAGGATTAACTCGACAAGCATTCAGGATGCTCCGCTTAGATTGGTATTTTAAAGGACAGCCTCCAGTTTTCCTGACCAAAACCCGTAGACTTTCTAAATTTAATTTTGTACCTTCACTCTGTCAAGAAGTGAATCAGGTCCATGACCGATTTCAACTCCCATACTGGAGCTTACATCGATGACAAGTATATATCGCAGTGGAATGTGCTTAGTCATTGACTTGTTTGTTGCCCAAATTTCTGTCACGATATCAACACTAGGATCCCCAAAACTTTTTACCTGCAATGAAAAATCATGAGTGTATAATTACCATGCACGTAAACAAAAATGCTTAAAGAATCCTATGATATTATTTATTTTAAATGGTCAAATATGACCATGGTTTTTAATATTGGCAAGAGAATAGAACATAAATATATATATATATCTGTTATATAGGCATGGTTTAATTTATACTGCGTTTATTTGAGATTTATACTATTTTAGTAATATTTGACTACTTCGACCTTTGACTTCAAAAAGCTTCTTTGACGTTTTCTCAAACGTATACTAACAAGTTTACATGTTTAAAACCGCAATTTTTATTTAAAATATTCAACCACTTGCCAATATAGACCCCCCCACAATCAATTTTATTTAGAACCTTTTTTGATAATCTGAGTCTCTACTATAGATACGATTAAACAATAATTTATACCGAAATTTATGACACATAAAAAAAAACTGACAATCTTTACAACAAAGCTTCAAAATCCGTACTTTTCAAAATAGTGAGCGTCTGCTAAAATTACAATTGGTATGTCACCGTTGAATTATTGCTGATTTGTCACTGTTACGGAAATGAACGAGGAAGGCTATGCCCCAGGAAGAGAAAAAAATACGAAGTTATTTATTTTATTCCTATATTCTAATAATTACCAACCTTCCCATTGTTGACCTGGCAGTAATGCTTTGTACAAAGTGTATTTCTATCACCTTGACTGTTTCTTTCTTTTTCATCACAATCGCTGTCACTCGATGATGATGACATTGTATAACCTTCTCCAGATATCAATGAAATATGTCCGAATGAATAGCTTTGATACAACAGTGATAACGTATTTATTTCAAAAACCAAACACTGCTACAAAATATTGACTTTATTAAAATGCAAAATATATCGTGTTATGGTTTAGAATAACTCAAACAACCAGACTTTCCCTTATTTCATCATTGAGAGAATTCTCTTATGACTAGTTTACTATTTACTTTTCTCTAAAATCTTTTATAAGTAAGCCCCAAAGAAAGTTTTTCATACTCGCCGCCGCATTTCGCACCCACGCGAATCCTCGACTAGGGGTATAATCGATGCAGAAATACTGTAGGCTATTCCTATCGGAACAGTTTGAAAATATTGTGCTGTTAATACAAAAGATATTTAATATAGAATGAACAACATGTTTTTGTCGAATCACACTGTTTAGCACTAAACGCTTTGATGTAGTATATGTTATTCATCACCAACGCTCATTTGTGACTTAATTACCCTCCATCTCCTCCCATATAAACCGACACATAAGATACACAATAAAAATGATGGTAACACGATATTTGAACACTCCTGTTTAGATGAAGTGATAGTAGAGTTCATACGAATCCAACACGTATTATAAACGTCAAAATGGGCGGTGCAAGCGATCCGATAGCAAATTTTTGACGCTAATGTTGTATTGTGGTTTAAAAAAAAAACACGTCATAATTCAAAACATTTTTTACGAGTGAAAAACAGCTGTGTTCAAAACAAATTCATGAAAAAGAATTGTTTCTGTTACACATGATTTTATCAAGTAAAATCCCTTATCTACGCTCCGAAGAAGAAACAGATATTGAGATGATAAGGGCATACTAGATTGTGGAAAGTCGGAACTCTTGTGTTTGAATCGATCTAGAAAATTGTGACATATTAGTTTAGGCGCGGGATGAGGACACCTATTAGCCCAACCGTTCACGATAAACATAGTCTCCTATTTCATATTTCTAAAATGAGTTGATTTGAAAAAAAAAAAAAAAATAAATACTGACATCACATGAATTCAATAGATTCAAGTACATATAAAACAAAAATTTTATACACAAATAGAAATATTTAACAAAATCAAATATGAATTTTGTTGCTATAAACAGAACGAATACAAATCCCTAAAAGTGCAAGTAGTAAAGAAATATATTTCATGATCGAGGGATTTATGCCTTTGACGTGCGCGCCATTAACCCGTCTCATCGTCTTGTCGAAGAGTTCTGTGTAACTTGGTTTTATTGCGAAAGTAAATAAGAGGGAAAATCGTATGCAATCAAACATCTTCAGCAAAAACTGGTTCTGTTTTCTTTCCATTGGTTGATTGTGATTTGTCCGGTTGTGTCGTTACGTATGCCTCATTCCAATATTCGTTGATCTTGGCTGTGCTAGGCCGTGGCTCTGAAATTACAATTTAGAATGCTATGCCAAATTTGACATTGCGGCAACAAGTTTTAAGCCGTTTATCTCACATTTTAAAAGATAGATTTATGCATAAGCAATTAAAGATTAATCTTGGCCCAAATTAGACATTTTTATAACCATAATATGCCTATCTATACACAATGATGCATACCGTGCAGTGGAAGGTCATTCTTTGGTATCTCTTCATTTACATCCTTTGCATTGCCCGCATTTTGATCAGCCTGTATAAAAAATGAATGTCTTTGGATTTGAATTCGAAACATATTAATAAGAAACAACTGTTATAAATATTGTACATTATTTTGTGACTGAACATATATATATGTGACTTATGCTTGCCACTTGCCAGTTATTTTTGCAACCTTTTAGTGCTTATTACAAAACGTATCGATTTTCCGTACAAACAGACGGCGATTCAATAAAAAGATCAATGAAAGATACCAACCGACGGGGAGACATTATTCGGAGGTCCACAAGCGCCTCCCGCAGTACATGTTAAGCATATGTTAGTGAAACATAAAAAAAAACTTGTTCCCAATACTACACATCCCAGAGTGAGTGCCGCGAACGTGTAAGGAGTCGATACCCCTGATGCCTGGTAAAAGAAAAATAATGTATTCGAATTTATTTAGTGGTACGGAGACTTAAATCTATTTACTGCAACGCAAGGTAACGGAACAGCAATTTGTAAACACCAGAAATGGTTGATGAATATAAAAAAAAGACCCAATTTCAAGTAAATCGACCCAAAATTCATTAAAACTCTTTCGAACTTTTAATTAGAGTAATCAAATAAAATTTTACTCAATAAAGTATATGAATCTCTCTTTCAACTTTTACAATTTTGTACATAAACATAGCAGATATTTCATTGACAAAATAACGTAGAAAATGCATATACGTGCAAATAGATAGTGTAAGTAGGATAAGACTCTTGTTTGTAATTATGGATGTGGAATTTTATTCCTCAAAGATACATAGAACGTTGCGTTATGATAAGTTCAATCTGTTCGTTGGGAAATTGAGTTAGTTTCAAAAAATGATGAAGATAGTTATCGATTTGATTCGGAATATATAAATCATAATATATGAATGAATTATCTTAGGCCCATCTTACAAATAAAATGACTATACTGTGAGGCATGGCAGCATAATTGAATTTACCAGCAAAGGTACCGTTGGCAAATGTGCTTCATAACATCTAAACCTCGAGTACACAATGATAAATTATAGCCATTATCATATGGGCGTGACGAAAAACAAATATCAATATAAAGTTTGTTTGGCAAACAACAAACTTTCAATCATAGTTATAAATTCTATTTTAAATCCAACTATCATTAAATTCCGACAATTTTATTAATTCATAAATTTGGCATTGGATCTAAGACCTAAGTGATATTTAAAATATGTATACGGAATTTTCGTGAAACGAAGGGGAAAATATAATTTAGGTTGGTTAATATATTATAGACTGATTTTCAAGATAAGTCAGATTACGTGTACGTTTATGTTGTTCAATGATACCGCTGAAGTAATATCATTACGATATTGGATATATATTACATTTCCCGCGTACTTGCTCTATGAATTTCATTCACGTCAAATATGAATAACACAAAGTATCAAGTACAGCTGCGTTTACATATGCCTTGCGGAATTATCTGACTTTTGACTTTCTCATGTCTCATGTCCCGAAGTATCAACAGGCATCTTTTATGAATAATTACTAGAGCTATGAAGGTAGCTCCCGACTTATCTTCCGGTTAATTAACTTTCATATGCTCTCTATTGCAGATAAATAGAATCTCAGCGAAGTACCTGATATTCAACAGTAACATATACTTGAAGTCCGAGTAATGCGCACGAAAAAAGAGTTGCAACAGTTGAGAATACAAGAGTTAACATCAACTGCAATTGTAAAAAATAAATATTAATGTAGGATTCTTCAAAAATAAATGGTTGTGTTTATTATCCCTCCCTAAGAAAAACAAATATTCCCAGTGTCTTTCTTGTTAAGTGAGCAACTGACCTAAAATAGTCGGTCACGGCATTAGGCAATTGCACAACCCATGGGACCTAGCGATGTAGAAACATAATATATTTCCATACAATTATAAACATTATTTTACACACAAGCTGATATTGCTCAGTAATCCAAAACAAATTGTACAACAAACTATGAATTATGTCGTCCAAGCGGACTGTATTTTCAACTATATATGATAAACAAACCAAACTCTGTGAGGTTTAGTGTGTAGCATGTATCCTGAATGATAATCACACTGAAAGTCTTTACTAATAAGCTTTTAGAGTTTGGACTCATGAAAACGTTCTTTCCGAAAGGCGGAGAATAACGTTTTTCTTTGATTTAAACTTTTTTATGAAAATAACAAAACTCACGTAACAAGATGTTCCTCTCTTCGCCGTATCTATAGCAACACCTCCGCATAATATGAGCTGGATATAAAATTATAGTTATTGATAACAATCTTACCAACTTAAAAACAAGAAAATAATTTGTACTTTGATTCATGAACTCTTTATTCTAGAATGTATATAAAAGTCAGAGGTACAGCGTACTGGCAAAAAATGTAATTATATGTCGAAAATCCGAAACGTAGATAAATGCACTGACAAAATACTATACACGACAATGGATATAGGATGAAATAATCCATATCAAATTTTTGTGGGCATTTAACTTATTTACTGAAAGTAATCTGAAAATATTTGCAATTTAGGAGTTTAACAGTTTATCCAGATCTGCATAGGGAATATATGAACTGTGATTTCTGCATTACGAATTAAATCACCACTATTTCACCGTAATTCCAGATGCTAATTGATTTTCATCTTCAAAACAGCGCTATTTGGACCAATGATTATACACTGAAATAACAAACATTGTATATTTACTATATATAAGTACATATATATAATTTTGTATCAACCTCTTGATACTTACGACTAAAGACGTCACTAAAGTTAGCACGAGATATAAAATATTCGAATATGTTGTTTGGTTCGTTGTAATATCTCCAGATCCGAGTGCAAGGCAAAATACAGTGCATCCGAATGCAACTTCTGCAATCTAAAATAATCAAACAGTTACATAATTTATTCTCTTTGTTTTGATTTAAAATTGAATAGACAAACACATTGTTAACAAAAAAATCAGAAACCTTGGGTGGCATACGCTGTCGTGTACTCATGTGTGCCTATTTATAATTTAATATAAACCAAGCAACCAAGACGTCAAAGTAATATCAAATTAGATTGCTGATTGGAATCAGCTTTTTTGTGATTAACGTTATTTGTTAATTAGACATCGGATAATCGGCCTAATCATCATTAAACTGTCAGAAAAATTTATGAGAAAAAAACTTTCCTTTGCTACTAACTTAACAAGATATAACGCAATTTTAAACAGACCACTGCCATTATTCATTTTCCATCTAAGTATATTTTGTCTCGTGAAGCTGAATAAAAAACTTCTTAAATTTCTTCAATAACGCGAGATTTTGAGGGACGAAAACGCATGTCCCGGATAATAATGAAGTGCAAAAACAACTTACCCCCAATCCGGTCATCGCATATCGGTAGCTTTTAGTTATAAATATTTTCCCCATTTTCGTATATTACTCATACAGCGTTACAATGCAGTAGTATTCCTCAAATAATTAGTGAACACCTAAGAAAATTGAAAATAAATCTTGTGGACTCGTAAATAGGTTTCTTGCTAAAGCCGATCCACGATCAACAGAATAGGGACATAAATGATGAAACGTAATGATAAAGACGTATTTATGATCTTGGTATTTCCAGGTTTATTTGTATGCATTGCAAGGCGAGTCAAGCCATTTATTTTGACCCGTTGACGACGACAGCAGCATTAAACTCACAAGCACTTTTTCAAGCAAGACCATCGAAGATGGTTTTATTCCAGTTAAATATCACATACGGGCCATACCGGGTAATAATTTCATTGTCAACGAAATGTAGTAGTTTGTATTTAGAGGGTCGCGTTGGTGTTGACACAGCGTCTTGGTCCATAATATCTGTCGAACGTTGTAAATGACGTTTCCTTATTTGCGATGACGACGAAGATGTGACCACAAACAAATCTTGATTGAACAAATGTAATCTAAATAATCTATCCTACTCTTACAAACGTTACGTGCAAAACACAATTACAAAATATTCTTTATTATTTGGTCTGCTTTATAATTTTTGTGTCAAAACTATTGGAGAATGGCGTACTATATTGTTTGGTAGGCGGGGTTAATATGTCCGGAGAAATGATATCTTAATTATATTGCGTTTTTGACCTCTTGGCCATAAAAATATTACCTAGAAAATTAATAATAAATACAAACGAATAAAATAGGGAGTTATAGTTCAAGACTTGAACCTCAACCATAATCTCAGATTCTGACCGTTAGCTGATTTTGAGTTTTGGTTGTAGACGGGTGTATTAACTAACAACTTATTCCAATTCGATAATTATAATTTATTACCACGGCGATTTCGTAATATTTATTAGTTGCTATGACCGCAACACTAAAGTTTACTCTGACAATATCAATTTTGAAAGCTTGCTAAGTAATTTCTAGGTGTGCACGAGTTAGACATACGTTGGAGACAAATGATGCCATGAACGCGCAAATTGTGAATTGAATTACCCAACCCAACAATACATAATAGACTAAGGGTTGAATTGTTACGTAGCAATATTCGTTTAATAACTTTGAATAGGACATTTTATTCACAATTAAGCCTTAATATTTGAGCACATTCAACCCAATAACTCATACACCATTTGATGTATTTAACAAAATCCTTATAATATTCACAAACTTATTGCATTACATTCCTTGACTTCGATTCTTTCAAACCATTTTTTGGTTTACAACAAAGCCCTTTAGCCACACAGTGAATGAACGGATGACATAATAACCTGCCCAATTTATCACATCGTATATGGTGAGCATATTAACAAACACTTAATAGACGATTCAAAGTTGAAATCTGTGTTATGCTTTAGCAAGTCAATGGGTGAACTGCTACTCAGTCAGTTCTTCTATTTATGATAAAATTGTTTTAGATGTTTGGGTCGTTTTAAAATGTTCCTGTGTGCTAATAAAGCCAAGAAAGATGTCAAGACTTTCTTACACAACCCAATTCAATATCAAACAAAACTATGGACTGAAAGTAGACAATTTTTATTACTTATTCTGAATTTTTTTTGTATTTCATTTTACGTTTCCAGATACCGTATTTCAATTTACGTAGAAGAGTGCGATAAAAGAAATGGGACTACAATAATGTCCCTGCATGGGAGATAATATTTCGCCATTTGTCGTAAATTGTTTAATTAATAGATCTGTCATGTTTGTAGATGAATTGCGTGTTTGCCGTTTTGGTTGAAAAGAACAGAGAACTTCTGCTTCCTGTCATAACCTCTGAATCACATCTGGGTTAACTGGATTTTACTACCTAAAAACTCAACAAGCAAAGTCTCAGTCAAGTAATAGTTGTCACACATCTCAAAGCAAACATTACCGCGTCTTAGCAGGCAAGACAATTTTATGACTTTATTTTATGATTACTGGTTCCAACCGAATTTTAACAGGTGCCTTCCTTCTTAGTATCACGATTCGTTTTTTATTGGTTTGACTTACTGAAAATAGCTTCACAACTTTGTTTGCCTGCTAAATGAGTTTAACAACTTTTACTTTCTTGCTGAAGAAAAATGAATACATATTTATATTAAATTTCAGTCACAAGACATGTCGTATGTCGCTTAAAGCTTTATTTTGAGATAGAAAAGCATAATCAAAGTTCTTTTGCAAAATTTGTTCCTGAAAACAAAAATGAAGATTCCTTTGACAAATGAGTACAGATTCACAATCAGTGGAGTTGGGGTATGTATTTGAATGATTTTTTTCTAACCACTTTTTTGAGTGATAAACGAAATGAGTATTATGAAATGAACTATTATTACACGTCACCAATGATATAAAGTGTGCATTACAAATAGCCAAACTTACGCACGTCATTTTTTAAACTTTGACGTTAAATGATCACGGCCTGAAACCTACCGTATTATTGTACTAAATGTCAAGGTTAGGAAAGCGCTCGTGGGGTAGTATTCAATTTGGTAAATTTGTGAAGTTGCGAAATATTTTCTGCTCTTTGTATATTGTTAAAACATAATTTCGAAACTTTTTTTGTGCATCCCACAATGCTTAGTCATTGTCAGTAATACTTGTAGTCAATCAGAAATTATAGAAAATATATATGGTAAAGTGCTTTGAATTCATATAATAAAAGCCTTCGTTCCTATTTAATTTTAATTCTTTTCTTTCTTATTAAAAATTTGATTCTATTCTCGTGAAACTTCTTGTCTTTAAATTATTATAGATCACACAAGTCGCACTCGGGTGCTGTATATTCTCACTCGGATTATCAGGTGCAACCAATGTAACTGATAGTCTCGCTCAATACCAAGACCCTTACCTGGCAATGTCATTAATAACTGGAGTGTCGGTGAGATATTCTCTTCATTTTGACTAGTCACATAAAACAGTCAGTTCCGTCACGTAAATTTCCAAGGTTTGAAATTTGATTTGTAGAACTTCTGCGTTTACCCTGGTAAGCATATCTAGAAACTAATCTGAAGAGTGCATACCAAATTTTCCTTATTGATCATTATCGTTATATTTTCTGAAAAAAATTCAATATATCTATATAAAAAATAACGATTATCATAAAATTCAATACAAATGTGCAGAAATAGAAGAGCATGTAAAAAATTTGTTGTAAAAAAAGTTTTCGCTATTACTGACTTTAAGACAAACTTTATACAACTTTTCAGGTAATTACGAGTGGAGCGATTTCGCATTGTGCTGCAACAAAAGCAACTCATTGTTATGTAAGTTAGCTTCTGAACATGTATGCTAATGAACAAATCTTTCTTCATTCGAATACGGCATGTAAATGAGTTGGTACTGAAATGAGGTTATTAAAATATAAAAAGCACTTTCAACAGTTCTAGTTTTGCTGGTGCATTGGGGTACTCCGACGTTAACATAGATATCAGTGTTTCAAATGCAAAACTCAAGCTGATTTTGTACGTAATAAATAGGGCTTTTAATTGTGTTGAAATCGTTTTTGATTTGGCCTGATTAAAACATGTGTCAAATGGCAAGATGCTCCACCATATTTTTAATTGTATAACCATAACATATATCAATCGATCGATAATTGTAATGTTTACCCCATATTTGTCCATATTGCGATGAATGGTCAGTATAGGTCGAGCAGTAAAGACTTTAATCTTATGAGTGTAGTAGCCTGCTACGTTTATAAACCCCAACTGATTCATTTATCCCATCGACAAAAATTTCTTTCAGCTATTTCTAATTCTGATAACGTCATCGCTGTCAATTGTGTTTACACTCTCGTTGATTGGAATTCAAACATTTCTGACAGCAGAATACGCGGTAAGCAATAAAATCTTTTCTATTTTTTCTGAATACATTTGTAAATATCTGAACTTAATTGAGTAGCCATTCCACCAAAAAGTCCACTTTGGTTTGGCACCTACCTGAGTTTTTCTTATTGAGCACGAAGTAGACTTATGAATCGTTTTGTCATTTAGTATTCTTGTTTTTATGACAAAATCGCTCTTCTCATTTTCCATGAAATTTGCAGTAATTATTTGCAGTAGGTTGTTGTCACTAGAAAGCTAATTTTTTTGTTTATTCAAAAAATTCCTTTGGGCTCTATGGAATTCGTTTTCACGTAAATTTCCGTGTGATGACGTCATCAATATGTCAGCGATCTCGTGATCAGACTACCACTACTGTAAAAGATTAGATGCTATTTCGTTTTGGCCTTCGTTTCTATATATTTGAGCGATGCTCTCTCTTGTTTCAATTCGATTTCTTGTTTCATATTTTTGCCATTTTTATCTTAAAAAATTGTGTTTGAGAAAACAGTTGAATACACTAAATATGCTTTTTGATAAAATACCCTTTTTTCAACAGGACATTCCAAATCACAGTCCTACGTTCATGGCATCACTCATCCTCGGAAGTGTATCTGCAGTGCTTTCTTTCTTCACGAATTTGGCAGCTATCGCACTCACTTGCACTGCTGGTGGAGCTTGTAATCATTCATCCAATGCAATCATGCCCACAGATGATGTGAGTAAATATTGCTAGAATATGACAATGTTGGCAAATACTGAATTGCAAAACAAGAGGTGGAAAAGTATCGTTGATTTTTTTTATCTTATTAGAATACCGGAAGCACAAAGCAAAGTTCAAACGTCTGAAGAAAGATCTATTAATATTCTACATATCCGCATCATTTTGCTTGCACAATAGAGAAAGGAATTCAAATATCCGGAGATCATGATATACAATAATACAAATATCATATTCTATAAATATTTAATCTTATGAAACACCATGTGTATATAGTCTTGTGATAACTTTTATTAAGTAATTTAATCCAGAATATATTTCAGTATTTTTGAATGAAATATAATATTCGAATCTTCTATATGACGTCAAAATGGCCAACTCGGCGAACGCTTCACTGACCAAACAACAAGCTCGAGGTGTTTCGAATATTTATGGCGCTCAATTATTCATTTCGTTAATTGTCTTATAATTATAATTTATTCGATTAGCTTTTGAATTATATTGCCAGTAGTATATTAAAAGTGTTATGAAGAAAGAGGTAATTTCGTAGCCGAAATAACAAAGGAGTCAAGTGTAGACCCCAGGAGATAGTTGGGGTAGTTCAATGTTCTATGCAGTCTTTGGTCTCTGATGAGATTCCAAAATCTACGAGTGAGTGAAAAGATACAGGCCAATACGACTTGAAATGTTTTCCCAACACAACTTAAAAGCATTGTTGTTGCGTATTTATTGTGTCAGATCTGTTTCGTAAAGTGGCAGGAAATTGCGACTATCAGTGATGACGCATGGCCGTATCCGGAGAAGTAGAACTGAAAAAATTGCACAGTTTCCCACAGGTGACAACACTGCCTAAACATAGTGTAATGTTTGAATTTTAACTTTATAACATAACTTTATGTTTGAATTTGTAAACAGAAGCGTCAGATATTAATTAACCTCCCTTCTGACATTATTCGAAGAAAAATGAATAAAATTTGGATAAAAGTGACCTTCAACATATTGTTATAATATTCTATTATGTACTAAAAACATATTTTTAAAATTATACAAAAATTATTATAACATAAGTTTCAACGAATCACTCTAAAATATCAATAAATTGGTGGTCGTTTGTAATTTTACTCATATACGAGAATCATTTTCTGTTGGATGAACGCGCGTGACTCTGCAAATTCGGTCGATAATAAGTCCAGTGCAATGGTATTATTTGTGCGATTGGATCCAGTCATGCAAAACTCAACTGTCTTGATTATGATCGATTGTAACTTGCAATCTATGCGTCATTCAGGAAAAAGTATTCTGAAATTAGAAATTTTCATTTTTAAATAATGGCTGATCATGCTCCACCAACTGTGGCTGATCTTAATTGCACTTGCGTTAATTTATCTTGCCGCTTGGATAAATTATATCAATATGCAGCAGATACAAAAGGCATATTAATATGCGAAGTGAAATTAGACTATAAATTTATATGACACGAGTATGAAGGCCAAAATTTGTTAAATGAAGCAAGCGCAAATACAAATAAAATTATACTAAATGCGCCGCATGATATTTTATCATGTAAAGTTCAGTTCAGATATAGTTTAAAGTCAAATTTTATTAAAAAAGTTCAAATGCTCGAAATATAGGAGGGTACAAGGTAATTAATATATATCAAGACAAATTGATTATTTCCAAATTTTAAGTACTCTGGATATATTTTGAATGTTGCGTATTCCGTGAATCGGACGATGCTAAAAATTTTATGAGATCTTTATACAGTTTTAAGCGAGATAGATAGATAATGGTCGACCGCCCCCTAAACAGTCAGCAGTTTGGCATTGTATGGTAGAAGAAAACAACTCCCACAGTATATTAGCTCTAGATGTAATTGTAAGCATAAGTACTTTGTATGGTTTCCAACTTAAAGCCTACAGCTAATATCTATTTTAGTCAATAGTGTGGCACCTGATACATAATTTTAAGTGTTTGGAAAACGCAAGATGAAACTTTTCCATGTTCCAGCAAGATATGTTCTGGCTTTGATGGGATTTTGGGGGACCTTTACCCAAATCCTATTCAAACAAAATATAAGCGTTGCAATAATTGAGATGGTAGATTTTGCTGGCTTAGAAAATTTCAGCACCTCAACTCAGAACAGTACATTAACGTCAGATACGAACTGGACGACTCAACAGAATCTTCTCGAAATTCCAGAATGTCCTGATATGGGTAAATGGATATGTAGATAAAAAGATAAATCGTAACAAAAATATGACTTATTGAAAAATATTAATTCGTACATGCTTTTTTAGGAAGACGTTTTGGGCGACCAATTTTTTAGAAACACAATATTTGTATTTGATACAATGTTGATACAAGTTTGAAAGCTTGCAATTTTATCGCCAGTGCACTTTCCTTCAAATCAAGAATAGGCGGCACATTGTTTGGCCTCGCGTAGTGAAACTTGCATATAAATTATTGCATTGAAATGTATATACATTCTTTTAATGCATTCTTTTTCCTTCTTCTATGATTGCTTATACAGGGGCAGAAGCAGATTCCAATCGTACGAGTTTAAAGGACGAATTCAAATTTCTATGGACTGGTTCACAACAAGGTCTTGTGTTGGGAAGCTATTCTTACGGAGTTGTTGTATCCTTAGTTAGTGACGCTACAATTATTCATTATCAATGCAAAACATAAATATTGAAAGTTTTAAAAATGGTTAACTGAAGGCTACTTCTATGTGTGCCTTTTTACACTAGTCAAATAATTGACTTTTTACATATATATATTATATATATATATATATATAATATATATATAATATATATATTATATATATATATTAGTCTTAACTGATGGAATTAGTCTTAACGGACTGTTTTAATTAAAGGAACCACTGTTCTAGTACATGGAACGCAAATATCACAGTGGCCAAACATTCGCAATGCTCAGAGCATATTTCACCACCTTAAATATTCTACGTGGTTTGAGTAGCCATTGGTATTCCGGTAGTCGCATTGGCAGTGGTTGAGTTGTTCATATTTTTCGAAGCCTCATTTTGGCAACAAGGTTTAAATGGGCAACACACTTCATAAACTCAGTTTCAGTATATCCAAGGAATGTACTACAAAATTCCGAATTTTAGTTACTGAATATCGTTTACAGGTCGCCATGACATCACTCAGTCGTAAGGTCGGCCACGTCCGTTTGCTTGGGTATTGCATTTTTGCTACTTCGATTTTAACTATCCTTACACCAGTAGTTACGGAGGCAGGAGGGTACATCGCATTAGTCGTGCTGAGAGCATGTTGTGGAATACTTTCGGTAAGTATTTACTATGTGTGTCTAAATTCGCCAATAACTTGTGGATATTATACCATGTGATAAACGGAACGAAACATTTTCATTTTATTTACTTGTTTTAGTACAGTGTTTCTCAGAAGGTGGAGCGCGCCCCACGAGGGGGCGTTGAGAACATTTTTTGAGGGGGCGTGAATCTAATTAAAAATAAAAATATTTGTTAGATTTGATTGCAAATTTTGCAATCATTTCATTGTTTACGTTCCATTTTCAACGTTTTTTCTTATTAAAACATACTTTCGTATTACTATCTGTTATTTGTAGCTTGTTGTTAGCTAGTTATTTTTGAGGAGGGGCGTGGTTTAAAAGGAACACTGTTCTAGTACATGGACCGCAAATATCACAGTGGCCAAACATTCGCAATGCTCAGAGATAAAGATACTGTATTCATGTATCTCAATTTCATCCTATATATTCACATAATTGTACAACCTCGACAAATATGGAAAATAACAATAAAAGGGAAAGAAAAAAAATGAGGAAGAAATGACTTCTGAGCTAAGTGTTCTAAGCTAAGCAAAATATGCCTGCTGTTTTTAGTTTATTTCCTTCATTCATTCAGGGTCATACAATATCTCAGTTGTTCGGGCTTGCAGGAATATGGTCACCTCCACAAGAACGAAGCAAAATTGTTTCTTTCATGTTAGCTGGTAAATACTTATAATCTTCAGTTTTATGTTAAGTCATTATTAATGTTAGAAACGGATAATGATGAAATGCTACAGGTGTTTATTCACCCTTCTAAATTCTCCAAAATAGTTTAGACTTTAACTTCGTAACATTATGAGTTCAGATGTGGTCAGATGCTTTCAATGGTGCTCTTATCTCCTGAGTTATCGTATTTTCAAAAATATATATCATAAATATATAAATTGAATATTGGGCGTAGTAGAAATTTAATATAGTATTTAATCATTCTTTGATTCTAATGCATTTACTTACTTTATGAAATCCAGGAGCTCCAATAGGCCAAAGTTGTTTTATGCCTGTTGCTGGGGTACTTGCAGGATCATTGGGATGGAAGTCGGTCTTCTACGTTACAGGTTAGATACAATATTTGCAATATTGAAATGAAATTCAGTCCTTTGAACTCCCGATAGATACCTACGAAGCTTCTTGTGTAATAACCATTTGGATCAAAGATGTTAAGATAAAAATGGTAAAATATTGCCTTCTGGGTAAAATATGTCTATACGGGTATTTTTGGTGCAACGCCTATTCTACTTTGTATCCTATCTGCAAACGCAAAGTTTTCGGTACAGACTGAGGGAGCGATACGACCATATGGCCTATAAGGAGAATTTCCAGCCCTATCAGTGAGTTTAAATTAATTAAAAGTACATTAAAAATCTCTATAGCGTCACAGTAGCTATTACAAACGTTTTTGTGTCGCAAGTTTGTGGCCACCTATAGACGAGAATATCGGTCAGAGACCGAAGACTTATCGATCGAAAGTTAGGGGATCCCCCAAAACAGCGCTCTTACTCCATAGTGACATCTTGTGTCCCATCACTAATTAATCAATAACTCTCTAATTATACGATATAATTCGCCCAAAATCAATAGGCTTCTGGTCCGAGATAAGATGAATGAACATGCAAAATCTGGAGCATATTCAATCTCGCTTTCGTGAGATATCGCGTGCATCTAACAGACATACAGACAGATAAATACCTATCAACATACTTACCGATTAAAATCGATAAGTAATAATTGGAACAAAGCTGCAGAAAATTAATGAAATGTGTGTTTACAACTTTCCAAGCACTGGATTCAATGAATAAACTTTAATAACTAAACATATGATTTCACATACCTAATATAGGTCTATCTATATCAGTGCTCTTCAACATTTTTGTTATTGTGGAACCCCTGATATAATTTTTCGATTTTTATGGAACCCCAATTAACAAACATAAAATAAAACTTGAAATACTCGTAACACGAAATATTTGTAATTCGAATATTTCTACTTCAGCAACGAAACAGAAAGAAGGTTACAAGCGTGAAATTCAATGACTAGGTTGTTCTTGCATTTCCTTTGCAATCTTCTTGAATTCTCATACTCATGTCTACATACTCTTCAAACAACTTCGCAACGACGCCTCAACATGCTGAAGCAAGAAATTATCCCCTCTAAAAAAACGGAACCCTATAAACTGACGGAACCCCACTGCATGTATTGCGGAACCCCTGTTGAAAAGCACTGATCTATATCTTGAAATTATCTATAGACTATGACAAACTACCTTCAATAGAATCGATAGCCTGCAGCATCAATTGTGCAATTCAATCTTTATCTTCTGTATAGGTGGATGTGGAGTTTGTTGGTCCATATTATGGTTAATTCTGATACACGAAACTCCAGAAAAACACCCCAGAATTTTAGACTCAGAAAAAAGATATATAACTTCGTCTTTAAGCCACCGACAGCAAAGTACGGAAAAGGTATGTTCCAGATTTCTTATATATTTTATGAATTTATACAATTAAACTTATACAGTTAACATGACATATACCAACCATATCTTGTAATTCAATGTGTCTCATTCAATATCTCTCATTTATTATGGCATTCTGATAGTTCTATGATAGCCAGACTAACATATTTTACAACTCGAAGTTTATAGTGAGCATGAACAGTTTTCTATTGAATAAAGCCGTTTAATTATGCTGTTAAACTTTTATTGATCTGTAGTCAAGTATCTCCCATGCATGTTCCACATTGATGCACGATTCGGCGAGCAATTCTATATTAAGCACAATACCAATAAATATTTTCTCAAACGTTGTACAACAATCGGTAATTAGATTCATATTATCAGAAGTAACAATTTGTATTGGAATTCCGTGTTATTTCTCACCTGCTTTATGTTAATATTTGATTATAAAAAATCTGCACAAAGCAAAGAGGCGTGCACTATTTGAGCAGCGAAATAGACTCATCTCTGAGCGAAGTTACGATTGATCGCTGAAGTGCCAAGAGCTGCTAAAGAATTATAGCGGGGAAGTAGGCCTACGCGTTAGTAATTAAAGTAGGTCAGGTCTATACAGTGATGAGCTGGAAAAAACATGACAACCGGAACGCACCCAATTAGCAAAAATGTAATATATATATATTTACAACACGACGCAAACATTTACAGAAAGTTTCGTCTGTCCTAAGATAGAGCCAAAGAACTGCAAGGAAATATGAAGAAATTATCTGAAATATGTCCATGTAAAATTGCAAGAATATTCGTAGCAATTCTATACAAATGTTATTATTAGAAAGGTATAGAATGAATTTCCATGGGGTCAATGGTCGGGAAAACATCTAAGACACGCTACTGCTGTACTAATTTTTTGCGTGATGTGATGTAAAAAGAATTACGATGTAACAAAACATAAATTAATACCTAAGATTACCAGAGGAATTAGACTTTTTGTACCATAATTTTATTTCAACAACAGGAACGCAAATGCAAAAAATGTCCAACAACCGGAACGCCGTTCCGGTGCGTTCCGGCTACAGCTCACCATTGGGTCTATATATAACAAAAATAAAATTATGAAAACCCACAAAATTGAAGTTCTTCAAAAAAAAAACTTTTGCACAATGTTTTAATCTTGCGGAAATATTGGCAGTAAACGCATAACAATTCATAATAAACCGCGCAAGTTGACTGAAAACGTATTTTGGAGAGAATAGTTCCGAACGACGCCATTCATCTCATTTTATAGCAAGACAAAAATAAAAAGTAGTGTCGTGACTCGTCAGCATAAATGAGTAAATGAGTTGTGTGTAGAGTCATTGAGCAATATAACGAACAATGTAGGGGCAATGATTGAGCCCTGAGGAACTCCAGAAGAAATCGTCTGGTTGTGTCATCATGAACGACGTTGACTTTGAGGCCAGCAAGAAATGATCTAATGGCGGCGAAAATCGGTACAAATATTCAGATTGCATTTGTGTCCGGCCGAGTCCGACATAATAAACTCAATCATGAGCTCTTCATTAAGCTTTGTTACGTCGATTAACTTCGGAGAACAGGTCGATGAATACCACGTCTTAGACCAGGGGTTCCCAATCTTTTTTCAGGGCGACCCCAAAGACAACTTTCAAGTGTCCAGTGCGACCCCAGGTCAATATATATATCTTTTCATGGAACTTTAGAGCTTTTTTAGCTGGGCTTTTGAGATTGGTCATGTGGTGGTATCAAGTAAAATAAGCTAAAACCAAACGGTGATGTCACAATAATCACCTACATTTTCTATAGCATAAGCATAGAGCGATGCCTATGGGCCTGTTTTACAGTAAGCCATGGTGCAAACTGCTAAATTTAACATTGTTTGTCAAATATATATTAGATGTTTTGTATATCCATCCTCGACCATAACTCAGCGACCCCATGACCTGTTTGCGACCCTACCTACTTATCACTCCGACCCAATTTGGGGTCGCGACCCCTGGTTTGGGAACCCCTGGCTTAGACAGTGGTTGCGGATGGTACTGTCGGTGAGCGATAAACTCCTTACAGTACTACCAGTCTGAAGAGAGTTAGCTATTTACGAAAATATATATATATATTCCATAGCATATCTCGAATAAGTTCCCTTTAGGGCGTCTCAGTCGCCTTTATTACAATCATATGAGATGATGCGGAACAGAGAGACTTATGACATGCTATGGTTTAATTTTTAAAAGAAACTTCACCTGCAATAAGAACATGGTTAGAACTACCAAAAAGAAGTTGGACATATGTTGAGCATACGAGGGCGGGATCAAATCAAGGGGACAGAGTTTTGTAATACAACGCTTACTCGCGTCTTCTGCTCCAACAAGTATAATCATGACATTATTTTTGCATTGCTCGCGGGCCACAATAGTGCCAAGAATAGGTAAACAGTGCAATACAAAACAAACACTTTTATTGTGCAAACAGATAGTTATCAGACATAGCCATCCCAGGCTAATAGAATCCGCATTCGATTTTTAGTTTTCTATAATGCCTATATTGTTAGCGTATATTCCCGACCAAAAAGATAGAAAGCCAGATAATAATTTAGACTGCCAAGCACATCATTCCACATCACTAATTGCCCTAACGAAATGCGATTTTTTGATTACTCTCCGAATGTGACGTGAGTCACAGATAATAAAGCGGCGGGCCACATGTGGCCCGCGGGCCTGGATTTGGACCACCCTGATCTTTTTTTCTAGAATCTAGATAATTAATTACTGATTGCGTAGTACGTATTCCCGTCCAGTGCTTATTTTGCAGCTGAAACACACATCAGCACGTCCGCAGATTTTATCCTCAGTGGCCGCAGGTTGTGGATAACTGATCGAGGAAAATTTGTTTCAATTATATGTTTTAAACTTTTGAAAAAATAGCACCAAACAAGGTTATACTTGAGTAAAAACTCAGTCATCAGTATACGGCTACTTTTTATAAATACAAAAATTGCCAAATACCAAAAAAATACCTTTTTAGTATCGCGTGAGACACCGAATTTCGTATCACCTTCTTTATGTAATGTGAAGACGACACACAACACAAAGGTAATTCGACTCAGTTTTGTCGCCTGCGAAAACGTATACATACTAGCCTTTGTTTTGAATCCAATATGCCATACGATGTTGATTATACAAGTATACATAAATGCGGGTACAAAACTGTTATCTTTTATTGCATCTAATATTTTTTATTCAGAGAAATATACCGTGGCTGAAGATGCTCAAATCCCGTCCACTATATTGTCTTGTTGCTGTTCATTTTTGCAGCGTATATGGTAGAACAACATTCCGATTGTTGCTCCCAACTTATCTCAGAACTGCCCTGAAATTCGACGTGAAGACGGTAACTATCACTTTTGCAACTAAACTAAATGTAATGATTCGAAATAGGAGGAGAATCACCTTGGACAAAAACAAATTTTGAAATAATTGAGCCACTCACGTTCAGTATCTCTCAAATATAAAATTTTACATGCTATAATTTTATTGTTAACAGTCATTCGTGTTCTATTTCAAATACAGAGTGGAATCTTGAGCGCTGTCCCATTTGCATTGGCTGGTCTCTTACTATTTGTATGTGGACCCCTTGCCGATTATTTTATTTTGAAAGGAATTCGACCAATTATTGTAAGGAAAATCTTTACTGGTTTTGGTGAGCTAATATCAACTACTTTATACTTTCATTTCTCTGGTCTATGTTCGATGAAAAGTACGACAATAACGTCTTTTTTAGGTATGGTCCTTTCGTGTGTAGCTGTAGTAATTTTAATATACTCTGGATGTAACGTAGTACAAGTAATATCAATGGTGACTATAACAAGTAAGTTTAAAACTAGACATATTTACTCCAATATAATTATACGATGTTGTTGTATTTATATTCTATCTATTAAAATATCATCATTTTTTATGAACGAAATACTATCATATTTTTCATAATCGAGTAAGACAATATGTATTACAGAAATGGCCGTGCAGTGATATTTTCATGAATAGCAATTATTGTTGCTTTGACAAGATATTTTCATTTATTGCTTCTGTGTCATATAATTTTTCTCCAAAAATGCCGCATATACATTGAGCTACATGTAGTAGATCTGCAGAGACCAATACAAAATTTCAACTTGTACAAGAGTATGACAATATGTTATAGCTACCTCAGAGATATTAGTAACCTTTACAAAGTAGGGAAATCTGGTACCAGGTATATAAAATTTAACAAATTTGTCAAGTCCAATCGATCAGTACCTGACTGTGACGATTCAATTTGCACCATATTGTATGTTTCAAGTAGTTATTATAATACGGTACTAATGACAGTTGCAATGGACTCGTTTGCTGTACCTGGTTTCAAATCATGCCTTATTGAAATATCACCCGAGTTCAGTGGAATCATTTTTGGTATGAGTGCTACGATAGCAAACTGTTCTGGAATTTTGGCGCCACAAATCACAGGAGTTTTAAGGGATGCATATGTACGTACTGATATTTTATTGTGCGGTTAGGCAGGAAACGCACTCGGTAACTGATTAAAATAAAAATTTATTTTGAATCTCCCTCAGTAAGACGTGTCTTACACGATTCTGGCGAATAATGAACGCCATTTCGAATTAAATTCGAGCTATGACTCGACTTGCGTTAAGACTACGAGCATTAACCGACCACCTTTTCACGTTAACTAAAAGGATTATATTGATATTACAAATAAATGTTCCGAATTTTGTCATTCTCATGCATAGTGACTGCTAATGTTGCTCTGTACTGCCCTTTGCAGGTACAGTGAAACTACGTTGCCAAACAAGTGATATATAACTTGAGATGGTTGATAAAGTTGGAACGTACATAACTGCGTGTGTTAGCATTTCACTTATACACAACCTTTTTGTAACAACTCCTCCCGAATATGAAAAAAAACTTCAATCATATAGAAATAACTCCTAACTGATATTATGAACTATACTGCCAATAGCTAGCTAATGAGATACCATGCGCTTCAAATCTCGCATTTACCCTGCGTTAGTGATGTAATAGAGCTGTGGTGATATAGAAATATTCAATGATACATATCTCCGTTGAGGTTCTTATATAATTTATACAATAAGTTTGTAAATTAACAGCATGTTATGTTTTAGGGTTATTTTGGATGGCAAATTGCTTTTTGGATTGCTGCTGCTGCATATCTCTTCGGAGGTTTGGAATTTTGTATATTTGGAACCAATGAAAGACAGGTCTGGAAGAAGCCGAATAACCATCAATCTTCCGTAATGACACTGACCGAAAACATATAATGGATCTTGTTTGTAGCACATCGACAGCCTGTTATTACAGTTAAAAATCGATTACCACTTTCTTGTACTACATGTTTAGGAAGGTCATTGCGCCAAAATTTGTGAGCTTCTCACCTGGGCAATGCCGACTGCCAATCACCCCTCGCGTTATGAAAACAGAACTCGAAGTCTGCCAGCCATGTCATGTAACCGTGAACGTAACAAATATATTGAATTACAAGGTTAAAAAAAGGTACTCCCGAAGTTTGCGCACCAAGATGTCGCACAACCCGAACCCTAACCTGGTACACAGACTGAGTTCAGGTTGGTGCGCATACTTAAGGAGGCCCTAAAAAAATATGAAATGACCGTTAAACCAATCCAGCCAGTCACTCTAAGACCCAAGTGATTGAATTCAACTGACAGAACGAACAGTAGCAAAAATGCCGCACAAATATTCTATTAAAATCTAGAAACGAACAAAAAGATTCTTTGCTATGGATGTACGAGGTATATGTTGTACATCTATAGTCAACATTTCATTCTAAGAGTTTTCATCTTTTCTGTTTATTTGCGTGGACTTGAAAATAGTATAATATGTATATATATTTAATGTTTGCCACAATTTCACAATTTTGTAATCAGACCAAATTTAACATTGAGGTTAATGTTCCGTGATTTATGACTAAAGATGAAACAATTTTTCAATATTTGAATGCGTTTTCCAATTTGTTTTAAATTAAAAAAAAATTCATTCCAACATCGGGTTTTGATCGTTCAGCGGATGCGGATAAACATAAATCTAGATAAATAAAAATGCAAAGTGTTTGGTATCTATTATTTGCAAGTGTTTGAATTTTGATTTTTGTATATCTAGCCTCTGACTGATCTCCTATAGACTTATACCTTTCATACATCTACGAGAATTGTACTTATATACAAGCGGATGGCTCAGATTTTCGAGATTGTTCATCATAACATGTTTAGAGTCGCTCTCACGCCCCTTCATTCTTGCGTCGGTTGCGACTCATATTACATTCACCAAACTACAATAAGATTACAAATAACAAAAAAACTACAAACCAAAAAAACAGCCATGAGACCATATAGGACACGAAATACGCGTACCGTTATCGCTAACGTCACGTTGTTCAATGACCACGAGCAAGTCAAAATTAATCAAGGAAAATTCTCATGGTGGCACCAAAGTTTGGGATAAAGCAGAGAAACGAGGAAATTCAATAAGTAATGGTTATCTACATAAGATTAGTGCCGTTGTTAAAACAATTTTTTTTTGTTTCAGCAACGACACGAACAACAACAATAAAAAGCCCCATTGTCCATTTCACGTCCAACATATATATATATACTAAAAGCGCTTTAGGGTACTTTAGAAATGAGAAATTGCCTACAAATACCTCCTGATATCATACTTCGGGACTTACCTTTCCCGATCATACGGTGTTCCTGAGAGTTTAAAAAAATATCCATTGCATTTGTTTCATGTCTAAGAAACCGTTGCATTTATTTTACATAATATAAGAAACTTGCGCAATTGCATTGTCGATTGCCGCAAGATGTTACAATCTTACGATTATTATTATTATATATATATACTGGGTTTTCGTCTTAGTTTGACCTGTCAATTTTCTGGTATTTTTCGTATTGAAAATGAATGTTTGCAAGATATGATGGCGTGATAGATCCGGGCAATCAGCTGATTATCAGCTGCAAAACAGCTGGTCAGCATGAACCTCAGTCACGTTTACAGACCATTTATGAGGTGATTTGCGAAATTGCATCAACGTGATGCGTTTGAAAGCTAAAGTAAAACATCGAACCCGCTCAACTCACTATTAAAACGGTGCAAAATTTAAATAGAATGATTGATAATAGAATGTCATTAATTTAAATATTACATCTTGCGAAATAGTCGGTTAGTTGCGCAATTTGTGCAACTGAGTTTAAATTGAAATTACAAATTATTTAGAATACGGTTTAAAAAACGTAGATTAGGGAGATAAAAGAACCCAAACGTTGCTTGCGCATTGCACACATATGCAGAGTTAAGTTTGAGTGCAAAAATCTGAAAAATTGATTGAACTATCAATAGAAAATTTTATATATATGCAAGTTTACATCGTGTTGTTTTTCTATGAAAATATTTACCGCTGCATTCAATTTTTCCGTGATTGCCATCACTTAGTATTATTTGAATGCAATGCAATAAAGCTAATATCGGGCCGTCGACAAAGAGTCGTATGTTTTGAAAGCCCTTTTCAAGTTCATCGAAGAAACCACATTTTGGATTTGTTGGTAAATTCACTGCATTTGGTAAATAAATTCACAAGGTTACGCGTTAAAATTTACAAAATTTATATGAAATGAAATCAGCTTCTATAATTCTAGAAGTTATACAGGGTCGCCCAAATAAACATTTAATGAACTGATTGAGTGTTGGCATTCATATTCATCAATATTTGTGATAAATAGAATAGTGATATATATGCATACAAGTAGATCCGTTTAAACCAAGACTTCTTAAACAAACTTAGCAAACGTTCGATATTTCTAATTGCGTCGAAACAATTAAAATTTCAAATTTGACTAAAAAATACAAAGATAAAATACTAAACTAAACGCTTGTACGCTTTCGACTGTTTCTTGAAATGCGGCTATAATTATGCCGCTATATCGTGACACAAACAGCTGATCGGATTGCACTGAAAATTGCAACATTTTCTTGCTCGTTTGACAGGCTCAAAGGAGTTCAAAATCGATACACATTTGCACAAGTTAACATTCCGTGTGAGATTCGCATGCAATTCATCATGTTGAAGTGTTGTTCCGCAATGCCCATGCTTAGTCCAAAATATCAAATTTTCCTGACACAGACAGATTTATAATTGCACATGAACTTGCATGAATTATGGTACCCCCGGATAGCAGTCATGCAAACTTGCTGCAAAATTGGATATTGCATAACTTCAATATTGCGAAATAGCATATGACAGGATTCGTTAAGCTGTGATTTATTGATTTATCAAATAATACTGTGCGTTTAGCAGAAATAGTAATGAGACGATATGTACTGATTTACATGCAACTTTGCAGTTGCTGGCATGCTTTCCTAACAACCCTACAGCATAGGAGTAGCAGGAAAGCAAAATTTTGGTAGTATTTTTTCAAAATAACTGTAAATTATTATTTTCACACAACCGAATATGACATCACTAACGAATGTAAAAATGAATGCAAATCTAAATTAGATTTGGGTTTGTTGGAAGCCTTGTGAATTGCGATGAATGTATCATATTAATTAAAAAGAATATGTAAAAATTACGCCACCAACTAATACGCATCATATCAAAATATTCACTTTCTAAATTATGAAAAAGATCACTGACCATTAAAATTTAACTTGGAAGAACGCGTTGTGTTGCGAAACAATCACTACCAGTGTTTTGCAAAACTATTTTAAAACAGAATTTTGCAAAGAGAACTGCAGCGAAATGTCACGTTGCAAAATTTTGTTTTGATGAACAAATGCCAAAACCTGACCCTTCAAATGCATAGATGGAAGTTACGAAATATGTCAAACACGACGCCGGGAGCTTCATCATCGCAGCCAAATGTTTCAGAGAAAACGTGCAGCCGTGATATTTAAATATCATACAAAACAGTATAAATATAAGGACTGAAAGCAACTTATTCAACACAAGATTTCTATTCAAAGAGATAGTAGTCTGAAAACAACTACCTACTTGATAAGAAAAATCCATGATGATGTTTAAGGTAACACTTATCTGTGCCCTTCTCGGGTGTGTCTTCGGACGTCAATACAAAATAGTCGCGGAGAGTGAGATTGATATCCAAGGAATGAAAGATCGAGTATCCTACCCGGGATACTTCGACAAATCGTGGCGTGACATCTTCAACGAAAAACAGCTTCACAGACAACCAAAATGGAAGATTGTTGAGAATGATACCGAACACAAATCGTACGAAGTTCGTCAATACGACGAAGCCTGGTAAGCATTGTAGTCATTCGTCCGAACGCAAAAATATTTGCGTACGAAATGATATCTGTTAAAATAGGATGTATTGTTTTGATAGTTCGAAAACATCGCTAAGGACTACACAACTCTTTCAATATTTCTGGCTTATGTCAGTGAGTGTATTTAACGTATCCAATATCTCAGCTAATCTCAAGAAATATACTAATACTAAAGTAATAACTACTAAACTAAAACGTTTTATAGTATGTATTATTTTACTTCCGCAGATTTAATATTTGTATTAAAGTATTCCAATATGAAAGCTTTGTTTTGTTTAGATTTTTATTCAGTGCTGCATTCAGGCATTGGTATTACAATTTACATATTTCTAGGTTTGTGTCTTCACACACTCCCTGTCTGAATCAGAGCGAATCTGCCGCTGATGGTTACGTTCGCCTTTACATCTTCATGGACATCAACAATGTAAAGCACCCAAACCAATATCCTCTTACCTACCCGATCTTGTCAAAGGTTGAATTGGGAGCTGAAGCCATTGATCGTCATATCAAAACCAGTGGCGATAACGTCCGCGTTTCTGAAACCGACGAAGAACAGGTTTCAGCAAACAAACCCGTTGAATATGTCGTCGGCAATGAGCGCATCCGGTATACACCCCAGCACAAAACCCCGATCGTCGATGGCAAAGCTAAAGATTTGAAGAGAATCTGTCCTGACCGTTTCTCTCAGCAATTTTACCTTCCAATCCCAGTAACCCAAACCCCACCCAAACCCTCTGATGTTAGCATCTCTACTGATTTAGTCCCAAAACGCACTTACTTTGTTCGCCGATACGCTGACGAGTTTACTCACGAAAGTCAGAGAAATTGCAACCTCCAGGCTGGTCTACTCGCCCGCACTTTGGCACTCTCTGGTGTTCGATTCAACCCACGCTCATATTATTGCGCTATGTACGAACCAGGTACTAGTGACGTCACAGCCCATTTCGAAGTTTGGTTTGAAGCCGTGAATGAAATGTAACTCTGATTGTGGAGGAAAAAAAGGAAAAAAAATTATCATTTTATCATATCATTTTTAGAGCAATGGAACAAATGCAGCTGTTACCTAAATTTACCTTTTCACAAATTAAGATTGCAGAAAGTTAGTTAGTTTAATATTGAGCAGATTTGCCTATTAAATTTGAATTTATGCTTTTTCAAACATTTCATTCAATAAAAGTCATTTCATGCATTCCTTCTCCATGTATTTGCCAGCATTAGAAATTGTTTGTCTATTTCAACACAGCTTAGTCCGTCGAGTTATGTCACATTTTAGAGTATTATAAAATATATATTTCATTGGTCTTGATTTCAGAACTAATCATAAAAAGAAAGTGATACTTTGTAATGGGTGAGCATTATGTTTGATTGGCCAGAATACAGCACCATTTTCCAGACCATAATTTTACTCACTCGCCCATAAAACATAGTTTTTAAGTATAATCGATAAATGTAAAAACTGTTCGTTTTTTTAGAAGCGATTCGACGATATTTAACAATATAGTTTGGAACTTTTCTGTTACTTATTTTTCGAATAAATATATACGGTATCTTTATGAGCTAAAAATATAACATTCTGAAAAAATTGTTAATCGCCAAAGTCCAACAGAACGTTCATTGCTCCGGGGCACCACCAATCTGAAGCTGTCATTTATCACAAATTGCCATCGACACCTATTCTTTGCAAATGAATTATATTTTAGCTACTTGTCGCAGTTCAACCATACACTAGATTCGGTATAAAAGTAGTTTACTGATATTTAAATTTAAATAAAAACAAATATCGACTGTACAGGTATATTAGGCAATTTTTATAAACAGTATTCTTTCTACCCAGTGTAAATTTTTTTCCAGTTTCAGGCGGGATCATCTAAATCAACTGTTTTGAAAAAGCATACTTTTTTTGAAGGGGTTAGATAGTATTTTTAAAGGGGCGCATCCTTTTTTAAAAGAAACCTATCATTTTCACAGTAGGCATAACTGATTCAGAAAGTACATTGCATTTAGAAGGACCAAGGCATTTTTACAAAGATCATACGCATAGATTATTTACGAGTGGCATATTAAGAGCGGGCATAGCGTTTTACCTTACAAAAGACACGATCTATCACAGTGGTTCCCAGCCACCGTACCGCAGCACATTAGTGTGCCACGGAATAACTATTGGTGTGCCGCGAAAAAATATCATTTTTGATATCATTCCAAGTGATTTCAATAGACAGTTGAAAGTTAGCATATCGTCTTACAAACGCGCATTTTAATTTAAAACTTAGAAAGAAGATGAGAGTGAACTAAGCTGCTCAGGTTTTTAGTTATACTGTCAGCCAAGCACTGAAAACGTTTTTTCACCTTGCCGTGAATCTTCTCTGCGACTGTTTATTTACATTCTCTGGATTAAATCAACTATGTCGCTGATACTTGGTTCGCAGGCTTGTTTTATAGCAAAATGACTTTATGACTATGAGTAGAAAATATTCATGTTTTGTGATAGGTGTGCCGCGGAAATTTGAAGAGTTCAATGGTGTGCCGCGATATAAAAAAGGTCGGGAACCACTGATCTATTAGAATGGGTATAATGGTTCACATAAGTCTATAGCGGGAATAAACACGATTTTTAAATAGCGGGTAATGAATTTTTCAAAGCTCGGGCTTTGCATGCAAGTTTAAAATTGCATACATACAAATATAAAATCGAAAAAGCGTTACAGTTTATTTGCGGGAATATTTGCAAGGAAAATTCGTAAGGCTTGTGCCCAAATTTACATTCAACCATAGCAATAGCGCTATTATTGGCTGAAACATCCAAATTTAGTGTTAGTGTTGTAGTAAAAATTGTCAGAATATAGTTACGATTTTTATCGGGCCATCAATATGATTGAATTTGTTCAAATTCATCAAATTACGGATTCGTTCGCAAATGACTATGGAGTAAAAAACTGTATCATCTGTGGTATAAGACATTGCCGAATCAAGCCACCCAACAAAACGTAAAAAGTATTTAGGGGGTCCATTTACTAAACTTCGCGGAAAGTCAGGCTAACGAACACGGTCTCCCAAAAACGCAATAGCGAAAAGTATTAGAATTCATTTACAGAGGATCTCGTACTGACACAAAACGGTCAACATACAAGTGGGGTGTCACGGAACATGTCAATATTTATTGTTCGTTGATGTAGAGTTGGTGTAAATTATAAACAGTCGAATTAAAAGAAACAACGGCCCGGGTTTATCCCACCGTCTCACCATAACCAAACAAAATGTAAACATTGTAATATCGGTCATACGATAACGAAAATGTATCAGACAGTACTACAGTACAAACAAATGCAAAGCGTCTCACTTGTTTCATAATCACTCGGGCACAGTTATTATCAAACCCTTATACCACGACCTAACTACATCTTCTATATTTAAGCAGTAAAGCCGATCGTAACGATTTTATGAGATCGGTGCCAGGCTCGACACCAAGATCAGTGAGTTCACACTTTCTGTTGTATATGGCTGTTGCATTTGTGACCACATATAAATTGAGGGTTCAAACAAGGAGAAAGGGAATTAGCGCGAGTGTATGATAATTACTGACAAATAAAGACTCAAATTTGACGTAATCAGGGGTGCATTTAGGTTTACATATGAAAGTTATTTTATTAAGCTTTTTTTTTTTGAAAAGTCTTCACTGGCTCAAACCAAATGCGACAAACTTACTGAGAAGTACAAGTACAACTTCAATGTCAATATGCGTCAAATGAAGACAGATCAGTATATATATTTAAGAAAAATCCCCAGTATTGGTAGCAACCAAAAAGCAAATCAGGACTAAAAGCTGGAAACGCCAGAAATTATTGTTGAGATATAAAGTTATTTAATTTTGATTACAACCAGCAAACTTAAAATCAATGAACAACCAGCGAATCATGTTTGCAGTTTTTAATGGTTAGTTTATTCAGTAGAAAAAAAAGGAAGTATTTCATTTCTATCGTCAATTACATCAAAAACAGATTACACTTAATACAGCTTACAACGATTGCATGCTGAAAAACAGCTAATTCAGTTGCAAAATGTGAAGATTCAGAACAAAAAATATGTGATGTGAAATTGAATTTTTTATTTATATATTAAATATCATTGCAGATAGTAGACTATGATGCCAAAACAACTGCAAGTTCGTTATGTGTTTGCCGTGTTTGCATTTATGGGAACCTTCAATCTTTACGCTCTACGTCTTAATCTCAGCGTCGCGATAGTTGATATGGTCGATTTTGACAATGAAAGGTCAGGAAATATATCAAATATTGGTTCGTACAACGAAACAAACATGACAATAACTGAAACAACTACTGTCCAAGGTGATAATGAACAAAGTAGAATTTTTTATCTGATTATTTTACGTGCAGTTCGCAGACTTAAAATAATTGTATGTATATGATATTTGAGACGCGTATACTGTAAGTATGTACTTTTTTTGGCGCTCCGGTAGTATGTGCACCAAGATGGCGCACAACCTGAACACTAACCTAGTACACATACTATGTTCAGGTTGTGCGCCATCTTGGTGCACATACTACGGGTGCACCCTTTTTTTAGATGTAAGCTTTCAAGTACAGTCCCATCCTTTTTGTGTCGCATGGTAGTGTTGTCTATACAGCGATACAATCATTTAAATAGAATGGCTTGAACAATTGGTGGGATCACATCAATGAAGTTCACTTACTTAAGATAATTTATTACTTTATACTGTTCTTTCTATGTTCTTTAAGTGACATAATACTCAGTGATAGGTTCAATGGCATAGTAATAGGATATAAATCTTAAATTCGAAAATGTCGAAACTTCCAAGTTTTAAAAATTACATTTCATAATCTCAGATTATCCGTCGGAAGGAAATAAGTTCATTTGGAATGAAAATCAACAAGGATTGCTTCTTAGTGCATACTTTTATGGATACATGGTAACGCAGGTAAACAACACCACCAAAAATGTATATAAACATATTTTCGTCGAGGCAAGACAAGTTTACGGAATCATGACGATAATTTTGAGTTACTTAGATAAAAAAAAAACATTATGTATTTTGTCTTACAATATGTGTTATATTTTTCTGTGATGGAAGTTATGACCGAATGAATATGTTGCAACAACTATTACCAAATTTCAATAGTCCCATTGAATACAACTCCCACCCTTTACAACGTACATTTTGTCTGTAAGAATAATTCACTGTAAACATTTAACTAGTCGAAAATTGTCGAATTTGCTCAAAGCAACGTCACAGTGAGAGTACCTAATATCCGTGAAGTTGTACTGAAACTACATTGTGTTATGGCGGTGCGTCAGTAACTACAGACTGCGTTAGTAAGTACACACTGGTGAAAGTCTTGAAGCAGTTTGCAAGTCGTTATGATCAGTAAACCAGCAATGGAGTAGAGAATTCCATATAGCTGAAATTCTTGAGGAAAGGAGCATTTGTATTTAGTTCGGTATTTTTTAATTACGCATCACAAAATGTCGTATCATAGCAGTAAATAACAAAGTCAGCAATGTAATAACATGAGCTTTATTACAAAGGTTCCTGGAGCTTATCTCGGAAGAATATTTGGACGAGTTCGAGTTTTGGGAGGATGTGTTGTCGGTTCATCAACATTGACGTTACTTTTTCCTGTTGTAGCTAAAAACCTGGAACTCGGATCCGTAGTCGCAATTCGTGTGCTTATAGGAGTATTATCGGTGAGTAATATCTGACTTATAAATATATCTATACAAATTTAGTTAGTGGATTGCCTCAGCAAAATGTAAGACAATTTGTTATAGAAGTGCTGAAAATATTTTTCTGCAAACAAAAATATAGCAATAACAATACACAACGCTTAGAATCACATAAATTATCTGTACTATAATAATGGGCGGTTAACTATTATAATACTTTTTTTTCATTCACGAATAATTTTGGCATATTTTCTAAAATTACTCCAATACTTACTAAGTACAATAATTTGACGGTTTTGCATTCATTTATTCCATACAGGGCGTGACAATGCCCATCCTATTTGCAACAACTTCAGCTTGGGCACCTTTGTCTGAAAGAAGCAAATTGATATCGATATTGTTCGCAGGTATGATTGATCAATTGACATCCAATTTCTAGTTGTTCTTCCTAACTTGAGCCTTTCGGAGTTTGCTCAAGTTGAATAATTTCGATATATTTATCAGGAATTCCTACCGGGACTTGCATCATTCTCCCAGTAGCAGGTTTGCTCGCAGATGCTTATGGTTGGGAATCGGTGTTTTACGCGACCGGTAAGTATTCAAACTGATCATTAAAACTGCATATATGAAACTATGACTGTTATCTTCCAGGCAGAAAATATCATCACATCACGTAGAATCGTTTCGCAGAATCGTAGAACTTGATATATGCCTTTGTATATATAACATTTTCTCTTTGTTCGGAAGGTTTGTTTGGGTTATTGTGGGCAATACCGTGGCTCATTTTCATTTACGATTCTCCCCAAGATCACCCGCGAGTTTCAGCTGTAGAAAAACGATTAATTATGGGATCAAAAGATGAGATGATACAAGATAAGAAACATAAGGTTAGATTAATACATTTTTTTTTTAGATATAATCTACTTCTATATACATCAATACGGAAAATCGCTAGTAATGCCAAATATTTAGCTTTGAGAAAAAGATGTCTGTTTAGGACCCCAAGATGAGTTACAAATACGAAACCATGGTTCACGAGCACGTAACTGGGTCTATAAAAACTCAATAGCGAAATCTCCTATGTACGATTCATGAAGTATCTCGTAAACACTTGACGCACGGTCGAATACATTCTTTTCTTACGTACGATCGTCGTTGAATAAAACCGTTGACTGATCAATCAGTCGTCTCACTGGCTTTTTCATGCAGTAAGTAAACACCAAAACTTATACATTTAATCCCTGTTAAGAACATGCCGAATTGCCAGCAATGAAAATTTTAGCCTCGTTATTTTGCGAGCGCCACAGAGTGTTAAAATAAGTTGGCGAATGCCAATTTCTAGATAAACTGTTAGAGGAAAGGATTTTACTAGACGTCCGATTTAGCTCGAGAAAAATTCTCTCGATTATTTACGATGTTTAGGAAATGTCATTTTAATTTGAAAACGAAAGTTGGTGCTTTAATAGCACGTTGAATGTTAACGAAGTTAAGCGAATAGGCCCTAGATTACAATCTGTCTCTATTTTATAGCGTCCCGTTCCTTGGCTTTCAATGATAACGTCAGGAGCATGGGCTTGTCTGGCATTCACCCATTTTTCAAGTTTGTTTGGAAAATATCTGTTGATGACAATGTTGCCAAGTTATTTGAAGACCGTATTGAACTTCAATGTTAAAGCGGTAAGAATTGAAATTGTATTCATATGCATACATCTCGAAATACCCCAAGTGTTGCACGAAACTTTGATAAATTCTAAAGTTAATTTATAGTATATTTACAGTATATTTATAGTTTATAAAATTTATACGACTGCCATACCCCTAAATTTAATATTTACCCCATTCGCTTTGAAACAAATGACAATGGCATATTATTTACTTCTATTCTTCAGAGTGGTGTTTTGAGTTCCATTCCATTTATGCTTGGTGCACTGTTGCTCTTTGTCTCTGGACCACTGGCGGATTGCCTCATCGCAAAGGATATTAAATCAATTTATGTCAGAAAATCACTAACTACAATTGGTATTTATTTCACAACATTATATATTCAGTTTATATACAACATATATATGTAAAGAGCTAGAGTTTGGCATTCGGTATTACTGAATTGAATAGAAAATGCTATATTTCATCATTTTATATTGAAGAATTCTTGAAAAACTAGAAAAATTTGCGATAAAATTATATTTTAAGATATTTTAGATCGGTCCTATCAATAATCTAATAAGTCTCCTATAGTAAAAACGACTAAGTATTGCAAAATTCCAGAGAAACGAATGGATCATCCAAGTCAAGTATTCAATGCAGTAAATGAATAATTATTTTTTTTTTTAAATATCCTTCAATTGATCAAGATTAACGATGTATTATACACAGGGCTTTTGACATCAAGCATATCAATAAGTATTGTCACTTACATTGGACCAAGTGTACCAGCAGCCATGACACTATTCACTCTATCAGGTACGATTGATTGATTGTTATTTGAAAGGTTCCAGTTTAACGAATAATAACAATAAAATAGAAAAATTATGTGTAAATAGGTGTGTCCGTTTTTCAGTTGCCATGGACTCGCTGGTGGTGCCAGGATTTAAGGCATGTATTATGGAAATAACGCCAGAATTCAGTGGAATAGCTTATGGTCTGAGTAACACGGTGTCAACGCTTAGTGGGATAATCGCTCCACAAATAACAGGATTTTTACGTCAGAAATATGTACGTCGAGCATGTTTTATTATCAAACTTCCACTTGCACAACTGAACACGATTTACGACAGTATTTTGTTTTAGGATGAAGATCCAATTACTGGATGGAGAGTTTCATTCTGGATTGGTGGAGCTATATATTTTCTTGGTGCAATGGTTTTCTTAATCTTTGGTACAAACAAGAAGCAACCGTGGTCTTATGAGTCGGGTGAAGGAAACGAAAAAGGAAAAGAGGAAGAATTGTGCGAATTAAATCCAAAATAATTGGGGAAACTGACATCACAATTTGAAAAGCGAAATAACGCTACGAATCTGTATATATTTTACATATTTTCTATGTGATAGATTTTGGTTTTCTTTTGTTGTTTCTGTCCATGCATTCTTTTGTTTTTTGCGCTCTCATGCTAAAAATGGAGCACCAATAAGTCGTGGAAACGCCTATTATGATTCAGTTGAAAATGTCAATTGTATTGCTCGTAGCCTAATGAAGTATCTTCTCATGCTCGATCTGGAATTTTTACATTGTTTCGTTTTTTAAATGCACAAGACGAGCATAGTACAATATCGTGATTTTATTGTGTATTCCAAATGGATTGAAAAGATATCGCCCTATTGCAGGGGTCGGCAACCTACGGCCCGCGGAGTAAAATAATCCGACCCGCGACGCTTCAATGAATTATAGCGACAAAACGGCGGTTTTGACGATGAATTAATTTTACAATCTCCGTTTGAGTAGTTGATTATATTCTATACACGTAATTGTGAAAAACATGGGGAATAAATTGTATTATAACAGAAAAATTTAATGAAATCGTTTAAAACTCTCTTCCAGCTGTTGACCCAATTTATTTGACATGGTCTTTTTAAAGTTATTTTTTTTGTCAACCACTAAGCCCTAAAGCTTCTCTTATGGATTTTTAAAAGCGTGTGCTAGAGTTCTATTCAGCAATATATTTTTAAAACACACTCCGAAAAAAAAATTTTTTTGCAAAAATATCTCAAAAATTTCTAAAAATAAATTGGACTTTGAGAAATTCTGTGTACAGTAGAGGGTTAATAATTAATTCCTAATTATTTAATTTTTTTTTCAACGTTTTCGTCAAGTTTTTCCTAACACAACATCACCGAAACGCCTATTATAGAATAAATGGTTATTACTCTGAAATTCACAATTGTATTTACAGGTGTATCAAGTTCAAGGCTAAAATTACTGATTTTGATGACGTCACAGCTCTTATTATTACTGCACAGACCACCCCCAACGCAAAAATATTAAATTTTTTCGACGGAAATGCGCGTAGAACGGCCTAAACAATCCCATACGCGCATTTACGCGTTAAAATTACCATTAATTTTACGTTTTTTTTAACTACAAAAAATCTCCATACTTCTGCCAACTATGGAGCAGTCGAAATCATATTTATCAAAACAACACAGCGCCAGGGATGGTCAGGGATAGTATATATGACTGAAAATACATGCTAAACCAACAATAAGTCATTATAAAGGAGTATTTCCTGTCTGAGCTGAGTCGACATTTTCAGACGTCTGACAGGCGATTTTGAAATCCACGCTATTTATAGCATTCGCACTTTGCGTCACGGCTGGAAGGTTCTATCGCTTCTCTCATATCAGGCGATAACGTCAACAAAGAGCTAAGAGCGATATTAACAGTAGTTTACCGAGCACAAAATTAAGCGTAAATATTCTCTCATATGAGCTTAGCCGCTGTAAAAGGGTTTGAGCCTACAATTTAATTACAATTAGACAAATGGCAAAAAACGCAGAAAAGTTGATGCTGAGTACAGAGGGTTCATTGGCGCAGAACACTTGGCCAGAAAAAAATGAAACATAACGTCTTTTGAACAATTGAACCGAGGAATAAATGGCCAAAGAAGGAAAAATAGAAGAAATGTTAGAGGATAATATGAAACGTCGTCAAATGAGGCGGAACGTTCGTTCTCTTGAAAATGAATGGCTGTTCAGGACTCCGTTTGATGCCGTGGATACGGCTACAGGAAATATTCAAAAGGAACTTCTTGAGATGCAATGTAATGTGGAAATGAAACATAACGTCTTTTGAACAATTGAACCGAGGAATAAATGGCCAAAGAAGAAAAAATAGAAGAAATGTTAGAGGATAATATGAAACGTCGTCAAATGAGGCGGAACGTTCGTTCTCTTGAAAATGAATGGCTGTTCAGGACTCCGTTTGATGCCGTGGATACGGCTACAGGAAATATTCAAAAGGAACTTCTTGAGATGCAATGTAATGTGGAAATAAAATTTATACAAAGAACAAGCTAACAACTATGATTAGTGATGCCCATTCAGTGTTCCACCCAGCGCTGGATTAACCAATAAACAATATAAGCACGTGCTTAGGGCACCAAGCAAAGAGGGGCACCACAAAATTTTAGAGCAGAAGTTTATATATAAATAGTTTATCGGTGTTTATTAAAATATTACGAGTTCACCAGACAACTCAAACTTCAAATTGTTTGCTTATTTTACTTCTTCAAGTATCATATTAACCTTCTTTATTAAAAATAAAAACTGGAACCGATTTATTAGACACGAAATGGGCCTATGGGTCATTTTCTTAAATTGTTGTTGTTTTTTCTTTCTAGTAGTCTCCTTGTTGCAGCATTTTTGTTTTAAAAAAAATTCTTTTTTCGTCAACAGTTGGTCCAATTAACTATTTGCACTATGTGGCAGTTCCACGATCGCATTTCAACGATCTAGTTGTCAGCGAGGTCGGGAGTTTTTCGATAAGGTAGACCAGGGTGGTCCAAACCCTGTCATGCTGATACAATCCGTGCGGCTCACAGAACAATTTAGGCGTATATTTGTATCTAATAGCAGTACGTTTATGAGTTTTTTTCAGCTAGTCCAACTGGGGATGGGATCCCGAGATTTAAACCCCTTTTCTAACGCTTTGTGCCTTTATTTTAGTAAACCCCATCGTCTGTTTTCAAGCGTGGGCCATGTGACAGTATAGTGACGAAGCGCAGAGCCGACTTAACGCCGCGCAATCCAGTTTTTTTAGCTAGGTCCCGAAAAACCAACTTAGACGGACTTGGTTGGTATTTGACGATGTCACTAAGATTGCTCACGCTGCAAGTTTTTAAATTGCTCAATATAACAATTCGTAATAAAATGAGTGTTTATTCGCTGTATAATTAAGGTAAGTTCTGGAGCCTTTCTCGGTTCTCGGAGCTTTACCTAAACAGCCGGAGAAAATCAACACAAACAAGCAAAGGAATATGGATTATTCAGCAGCCGTCACTTCAACTCCTGCTAGTGAAGACCCAACCACGGAAACAAGAAATGCCAGACCGAGATCTTTATTTATGAAAACCAACCTGAATCTGGATTTTACCAAACTAATGGGTATACTACGAGAAAGCGATAGTACAAAGGAATATGTTAAACATATTAAAGGACTATATGAAAGCCGAAAAGGATTATGGATTATCACATTTGCGGCCACTGAAAATCAAAATACTTTCTAAATGCAACCAATGGAGAAATGAGAGTTAATGACTCTCTAATCTCCATAACTTTGCCCAGTGGAGCCCCAGTACGGATCTCAATAAAAGAAATTCCTGACGAAGCATCGTACGCTAAAGTTGCCGCAATAATCAATCAACTGGGCTGTGGCAAAGTTCGAAATGTAATTAGAAACTGACACAGAGGTACCGCTGTTTACAATGGTTTTACATCTTTCTTGATAGAAGACTTTAAGAAAGACAAATTACCAGACTTTCTTATGATAAACGGGATAAGATGTTAGACCTATCTCCCACGAGAGATGTATATTCCAACATGTGGGCGGTGCTTAGAAAGTGGACACACTTTCATAAACTGCGAAAAAGAGGCAGTATGCCGTTATTGCAAGGAGTCGGGGCACATTAGAAAAAACTGTAAACAAAGGGCGATGGACTACCCAACGCCCTCAAACCCGATTCAAGCATGGGCCTTGCCTAGACAAAGAAGACCGCAATTAAACAACGTGACGCATACACCTCGTAAAACTATAGAACAAAGTAATAAAACGCCCAGGAAAACAAACAACATGGAAGACAAAGCACTCGACAACACACGAAAGGTAATTAAATATAATGAAGACCAATCAACCAAAAAACAAACATCGGAAAACCCTATAATTAAGGTAGTCCAAAATGACACGGTTTGCGAGTTTTCCTCGTCTGCCTCTGATCTGCACAATACAAAAGAGCTAAGCGATTGGTCTGTGTGTGAGGATGTCTTAAGTCCACTAAATTCTCCTCAGGAAAACCTACAACCTGAAACACCACCAAAAGACGACGCACAACCCGAACCACCATCGAACGGAGTCCAGCAAAAGAAACAAAATAAACCAGTTGGTCTAAGATCCACCTCAACAATAGGAAATACACCGTACCACCCTAAATCAAAAGGACTCCCCCATGTTAAAGTTATGGTTCACAATATCGAATACCTGGACTCATTGAATTAATCGGTATTTTCAGATACCCCAAGAGAAGTATTATCGGCCCCAGCTGATTTGGAATCTAAAGAAAACTCCGATCTATCCGAAATAGCATTTGATAATTTGGAATATACAAATAAAAGAAACAGAGAAGATACCTCCTCATCTGAAACCTCCGAAACAACCAGAAAAGGAAAAAGCAACAGAGCACCAGGCAAGAAAAAGAATACAATGGGCACGTGACCTAGGATCAGAGACGTCAACACTTGCAATTCTGGTAGGAAAAAAGGAAACATACGTGAGTAGAAATTGATTTTTCTCTCGATAAATCGAAACAAACACGTTCTAGTGCTGTATTTTCTAAAATTATATAATAATGGATAGATCACGAGTCATAACTAATTTTACCACAACCAGGAGCTTAGACCTTTCGGCCGCCTATATAACTCGATATGGCTAAGTATAAGATTGTCTCCCTGAACGCCAATGGTGTTCAACATCACCTAAATAACATTGATAGATTTCTAAAACGAGAAAAGCCGAGAGTTTTATGTGTTCAGGAAGCACATAGGGTCGACAAGGATGTTATATCGCAGTGGGCAAGTGATCAAGGCTACGATGCCTACTTTAACACATTAGACAAAATGGAAAACATTATACTAATTTCAGACATGGAACCCTAATCTTGGCCAAACATACTAATTCGACTCAGCAGACGGCATACACCGTGCACATCAAACATCGATGTGATAGCCTAGAAATTGAAATAGATCAAAAAACTGTGAAGATTTTTAATATTTATGCCCCTGCTCAAAACGGTCCACTTAAAACTGATTTTTACAAACTTTTGACGAATATTATAGGATTCTATTGTGACTCTACTCAACTACTTCTGGTTGGGGACTTTAATAATGCTCTGGAATCGGTAGACGTCTCGAACACTAATAACTTTAAGTTGCGCCCCCCAGAGAAAATTTTTAAAAATTTTATCCAGTGTAACAACCTCATAGATACCTTTAGAAATAAATATCCTAAAAAGCAGATCTTCACTTTCTATTTTCATTCCAATGGCAGAAGGATAGACCGAA